TCAGATTTTGGATGTACTCTACAAAGAATTTCCTATGGGAGTAAAAGACAGAAAACTGTACTTGAACAATTAAAATGAAATGAAATAAAATAAAATAAAAATAATTTCCTGAAGGACTGGATATGAAGAGTTAAAGATAAGTATCAAAAGAGATTTTTAAATTTTTGTCCTGAGCAGATGGTGCAGTGGAGTTTCCCTCAGCTCAGATGGTAGCAGGTTTGGGGAGGAAAAGAGGCGCTCCCCCCATAGGAGCTCAGTTTCAGGCGTGTTTTTAACATGGTGATGGGGTGGTTGAATGGGTATTTGTTATTTAGGTCTGGAATTTCAGGGACAATGTCTATACTAGAGATTTAAATTTGGGAGTCATTGGCATAAGTCAGCATTCCTTGAAGATATTGTGGGTTGGTCCCAGGCCACCTCAGTAAAATCAATGTTGCAATAAAGTGAGACTTTTTGATTTCCAAGTGCATATAAAAATTATGTTTATACTATACTGTAGTGTATTAAGTTTGCAATAGCATTATGTCTAAAAATATACATTAGGTACCTTAAAATGTACCTTAATTTAAAATATTTTTTTTTTTGCAAAAAAATGCTAACCATCAACTGAGCCTTCAGTGAGTCATAATCTTTTCTCTGGTGGAAGCTCTTACCTTCAGTTTGTAAAAAATAAATGATCTGTGAAGTACAATAAAGCAAAGTGCAATAAAACAAGGTATGCCTGTACCTGGCGTTTAAAGACACAGCCTGTGTGAGATCACCAAGAGACTGAATGCACTAAAGAGAAGAGTCTCATCAAGTTGGGTACATTAAATATGCACAGCTTTTCATATGAGAGAGAGAGAAGATGGGAAGGACCATTAGAGATGAGAGAGATTTGGAAGAAGAGAAGAAGCTGCCAAGGAGACTCAAATGGAACAGCCAGCCAAGTAGAAGGAAAGCTGAAGTGTGGTGTCCTGGACCAAAAGAAAAAGAGTTTGTCCAGGGGAATAGAATGATGAGCTGTGACTTAAAAGACAAGCACTGAGAAATGACCATTGGATGTGGAGACACAAAGGCATTGGTCCCCTTAACAGAATAGTACGGATGGAATGGTGGCAGGGAGAGCCTGCTAGGACCATGTGAGAAGAGAGGCAGGGAAGGGTTCAGGAGAATTTAGTCAGCTTTCGAGGGGTCTGGATGCAAACAAGAGTAGAGAAATGGTGAGTAAGTGATGGGAAAAGCAAGGACAAATAAAGCCTTTTCTAAAATCTTCACCTGAGGACATTTTTAAAAATCCACTCCCCTGCTTTTTTGAGAGAGGGACAAACAGACACACATCTATTGGTTGTCTTCTTGTACATGCCCCAATCAGGAGGATTGAACCTGCAACCTGGGTATGTGCCCTGATGGGGAATTGAACCCATGATCTTTTGTTCTGCAGAATAACTCTCCAACTAACTGAGCCACATTGGCCAGGGAAAGTCTTGTTTTAATAATGGTGTAATGTTTAAACTTAGCTTTTAATAAAAGCTTGCAACTGATAATAGTAATATGCCCTACATCCACATCCTAATTATTTTTAAATAATATATATCCTGATGCATCATTCTACATGCAACACCTTCATGTTTTTTCCAGTCGTGTTTTTAACCAAAAGAAAAGTAGCTAAAGATGTGAGAATGATGGGTAAATCCCCTATTAATTTTCTAAGTTGTTCATAGTCAGTAACTATATAGTAGATACTAGCAAACAAGAAATTTGACCTCTAAAATTGAAAACATTATTTTCCAAAGTCGTAACAAGATCATTAGTTGCTTCAAGTTTATTCTAGTTAGCATCATACAGGGCAAAAGACATTACAAAGCATAACCCAGTCTCTGTCTTATGAGCACTAAAGCTTTTGTATTTAAAAGAAAGTGAACTATCTAGGCTGGTGTAGCTTAGTGGATTGAGTGTGGGCCTGGGAATCAAGCAACCATGGTTCAATTCCCAGTCAGGGCACATGCCTAGGTTGCAGGCCAGTTCCCCGCAGGGGACACACAAGAGGCAACCATACATTGATATTTCTCTCTCTCTCTCTCTCCTTCCCTTCACCTCTAAAGATAGATAAATTAAAAAAAAGAAAGTGAACTATCTGATCACTTAAATTGTTTTACCATCACTACCTATTGGTAATAATCATTAAGATTTATTGACAGCTTTATGCTAGGCTTCCAGGCTCAAGGGTTTGCATTAAGCATTATTATTAGCCTCATTTTATAGATAAAGAAACAGAAAGCCTTGACACAGAAAGGTAAATAACGTAAGTCTTCACAGACAGTAAGTTGTAGAATTGTCTGACTCCAGGGCCGGCTCTGAAGCAGGACTGCTGCGAGCCCATATGGTGTTCTTATGCGATTAGAAAACAGCATTCCATTTCACAAATCAGATTTCATTGTTACACAACCCGAATGGCTGTTTCCCAGAGGAGCTACCCAGAGCAGCATTTGTAGCATCTCTGTCTGCACACGTACAGCCACCTACACTTCTGCTTTTTCCCACACCAGGACACACACTCCAGCCAATCTCTAAATACTTTGTGTTGCTCCTCCCATTTCCATGGTAGGCAAGTATATCCAGTTTAGAGTTGGGGAATGAGAAGCAAGTCCTTGAAAGTGCCAGGTAAGTGGGAGAAGCAATTGCAGTCTTCACTAGAAATGAAGTCAGGACAAGTATAACTTGTGTAGGTGTCATCAGCTTTCAGTGTGCCAGTATGTAGGTGAAGGGTCTCTTGAGTAAATATGAGTGAGTGTGTGTGTGCGTGTGTGTGTGTGGCCATATACACTTAAGGCAGGTTTTTGTAGGAGTCAGCTCACCACTGCTCCAGAACTTGGTGAGGAGGCTTGGAATATGCTTTTGTGTAAGTTAATATTTGTCATTGATGTGAATTATTGTGCTGTTTTTGTGCTGTTTTTAAAGAATATATTTATTTTATTTAGAGAGAGGAGAAGGGTGGGAGAAAGAGAGGGAGAGAAACATAGATGTGAGAGAGAAACATAGATCACTGCATGACTCAACTGGGGACTGAATCTGAAACCTAGGCATGTGCCCTGGCCAGGAATTGAACCAGAGACCTTTCACTTTGCAGGACCATGCCCAACTCAGTCATATCAGTCTATTTGTGCTGTTCTTCTACAGTGTGCAAACTGAACACTCCTATGCAGCACCCTTGTTCCTAATCATTCTTTTGTTCATTAGACAATTGTTAAGTGTCTGCCTACATGCAAAGCACTATACTAGGCACTATGGGATATTCAAAGACATCTGTTCTTTTCATCAAGGAGCATAATTTCTAATCGGAAAAATATATACATAAATAGTATATAATACAATGTAATAAGGTCTACAAGACAAGTATTGAAAACTGCTGTGTGAATTGACAAGAGAAAGTACCATTTCAGTTTGATTAATTAAAACTTCATGAAGGTAGCATTTGAGGAGTGACTTGGGAGGTGGAATTTGGTTGTACAGAGATGGATGGAATCAGTATTTCAAACAGAGGAAACAGTGTGGATAAAAGCACATGTGAAGGTGTACTTCATGCATGCAAATAGTAGACACATTGAACAAAGTCATGCATTAATTCTGAACCCTGCCTTGGACCCCCGAGGGGCTATGAAGGTATTACTGTTCACCAAACCTCTGGAAAACTGAAAAAGGAAGGACAAATGTCTTGAACACATACTATACTTTTAATATATTAATGCTTTTGTTCAATACAAGATGCATTCATTCAAAAACATTACTGAATTCAGTAAAAAGACTTGGTTACATGTTTTTAAAAAATATTTAATTTATTTCTAGAGAGAGGGGAAGAGAAAGAGAGAGAGAGGTAGAGAAACATCAGTGTGTGGTTGCTTTCATGTGCCCCCAGCTGGGAACCAGGCCTGCAACCAAGGCAGGTGCCCTGACTGGGAACTGAACCTGCTAGCTACTCTTTGGTTTGCAGGTTGGCACTCAATCCACTGAGCCACATCAGCCAGGGCTGTTACCTGTTTTCTAATCAACAAATTCCAAGGTTACGACTACTATAATGAGCTAGTTTAAGAAAAATTTCAGTGTTAAAAAAAGTTCTGTGTTCAGAAAGCCTGGAGGGTTCTGGAGTTGGATAAACATTTACCCGAACGGTCACTATCAATGATTAGTTGCGTATGGTATTAGACAAGTCGTTCTGAGCTTGTTTCTTCATCTCTGTAGTGTGAGATAGAAAACCAACCTAGCTTGATTTAAGGATTACATGCACATTTTAAGTGTTCAGCAAAAGCCAAGTATTATGAAAGAAAAAGTTAAGGTCAAATCACAGTCCACCTTGAATACCCAGCTAAGGAACTGGAACTTTTTCTTTGGGTGTGATAGTGACTCAACAGATTTTATTTGAGTGACAGAAGGGTCAAGCAGGGAAACTAGTCGGAAGGTTATTGCAGTAGTCGGGATGAGGTATAATGAGATATTAGCAGCAAATTTCTGTGATATTTCAGACGATAAACTACGAGACTCCACATCACACTGTGCATGAGGAATTTATGACCAAGGCCTCCATTTTCATCTAGTTGGTGCTGTTAACAGCAAGGAAACAGATGTGAGGTTCCGTTTTGGACATTTTCATCCTATGCACTTAAAACCATTGGGCTGAAAAGGCAGGCAAAAGCATCAAACATGATGTACCTTGAAAAGAAAGCTCTAGAAATTTTGTTCGCTCTCTTTAGACCTTTGTCTTTACAACATCTCAATATATTCTGGGGGCCTTGTCTATTACAGGGCTTGGGAAATATACGTCCACAATACCCAACAAATCGCATTGGGCTGGGAGTTAGGGCACGCTGGTGGCGTCACCACAACGAGGGGCGTGCTCCTGCGTCTTGTGGACGTCTTGCGTCATCACCAAGGAGACGCAGAGGGCACAGCAATTTCGGCATTCTGCACAGGCTCCCGCCTGTGGTCCTTGTTGCGTACTCGCTCGCCCCCTCGTGGTGCAGGCTTCGAGGCCAGCCGCTGGCCCAGCATCACGTCGCCCACCCACTGGCGTCAGCCTGGATCAGCGCGTGCGCCCAACTCGGCTCCGCCCAGCACCTAGCGAAGGGCGACGCCAGGAGGATAGGCCGGGGACGTGCGGCATGCGGACTCGGTCTAGGCCCGGTGATCTGGGAGAAGCCGAGGCTCGGGGCTGCGGGGGGCGGGGGCAATGGCGGAGGAGCAGAAGCACTGTAGCCTGGAATCACAACCCTGCTACAAGGCAGCCGCGGCGACTGCACAGCCTACGGTGCCTTCGTCGAAGACCGCGGAGGTCGCCCGAGAGTCAGCGGAGCCCGAAGACTACAATAGCAAGTGCGTGTTCTGCCGGATTGCAGGGCGGCAGGAGCCAGGCACCGAACTCCTGTATTGTGAGGTGGGCAACCACGAGCAGCCGGCGTGGGTGGGGACCGGTCACCCCTGGTTGCTCGCGAGCTAAGTCTTGGTGGGGACGGGGCGGAGGAACCTGAGTGAGTGGTGCTGGGGGAGTTTGGGTGTCCGAGTGTGGGTCACAGACTCCCTTCTCTTCGCACGGGGAGTTTCTCCAGCTGTTGCTTGGCTGTCCTGAGCCGAAGAGATGTAGTGATGAGGCCAAACATTTGGCCTGTCTCTGCAGGTATCGAGGTATTTGCTTTTAAATTCTGCAGACTCCGCTACTGAGAAGCAGCGAAAACCAGTAGAAAATGGATATTAGTAGTAATTGCGAAGGTTTTGTTTTGGTTGTTGTTAGATTGAAAATAGGCTCGGGGGTGGGGGAGTAGGTCTGAGGTCAAGCTGTTGCTCAATAGCGTCTGATTTCCACTGGAGGGTATAGCTCCTGGAAGTGTTACCGGTTGGCACGTGTGCGCATTTTAAGAACACTAGCCTTAAAACATATCCGGTACACACTTTTTCTGTCGGTTCTACTTACCTTTAAATAAACAGACTTCAGGATCCCAAATACTAGAATCCAAAGATTGTTTTTGTAGTTAATTATTCATGTATTTGCTAAAATTAAATTGAATTTCTTCTAAGCACTTGGTGTTGAAGGGTCATCGATAAGGTAATGGATAGTCCCTGTTCAGATTTTACAATGTAGAAGGGGGCGTGAGAACGGAGGGAGGCGGTGCTGACTGCAGTGCACTGTGCGGGGGTGGGGTGGGGGAAGCGACGTTGTGCAAGCCTGTGGGAGGGGCTCCTGATCCTGATTGGGAGGGTCGGGGAAGCTCTTTCTCCAGGAAGTGAGGCGCGTTAGAAATAAGCAGGAGCTGGCCAGTTGAGAAAACAGTGCCTTAGGTGGAGAGCGCCTCCAGAGGTTCGTTTTGTGCCTTAGAACTAACAGTCTAATGGCGAGTTTAGAGTTTGAGGTGAACGGTGAGGCTGCAGAGTTAAACAAGGCGCCAGATTATTAAGGGTGTTGCAGTTCATTTTAAGGAGTTTTCTGTTTATCTGGAGAGTGAAGGGAAGCTCCACAATGTTTAATAATTGGGTTGGGGGGAGGGGTTGAGGAGTTACCTAAAGGGGTTTGATCTTTGAAAGATCATTCTGGCACCGTTCCTTAGATCGGAGGAGACCAGTCTGGAGGCTGTTGAAGTGATGCAGACAGATGATGGCCTGAAATAAGGACGCGGTAGCGGGGGTGAGGAAAGTGGCAGGGTTTAGGGATATTTAGGGGGTAAAGAAGGCAGGACTTATTGATGGAAGCAGATGAGTGGTTCTTAACTGGAAGCAATGGCTCCCCAGGGGACTTTTGTGAATGCCTTGGGATGCTTTTCTTTGTAGCAACTGTGCAGTCAAGGAGGACTACTGGCACCTAATGGGTTGAGGCCAAGGTTGCTAATATTATACAGTGCACAGGACAGCCCCCTGTAGCAACGAATTATCTAGCTCCCAGCTACTGATAGTGCCTGGGCTGAGAAACCCTGATTTTTGACATGGGAGAATGAGGAAGAGAAAGAAGGAGGTCCAGGCTGATTTCCAGATTTCTGGCCAGGGTAGACGGGTGCCATCTCTTTCAGATTGGAATATAGAGGAGAACAGATGGCCAGGGGAGTGGTGGGGAGGGTCAAAGCAATGAGTTCAGTTTTGGACCTGAGTTTGAGGTGAGTGTGAGGCATCTAAGTGCAGATGTCCAGTGAGTGGTTAGGTAGTCCAGCAACTCTGTAGAAATCTGGATTTCTAGCCCAGATTACATGAACTGCCAGTTTATCGATGGAAATTGAAAAGAGGGTAACTGAGGAGATGACCTAGGAAGTATATGTAGAGTAAGAAGTGAAGGGGGGGGGCTACAGTGAATCCTAAAGAACACTGATGTTATAAGGGAGAGGCAGAGCAAAAGGATGTGAAAAGGGGACAGAAGGAACAGTTGAAGAAAGAGAAGGAAAGCTAGGTAGGAAGGCTCAGAAAAGGGAATATGTGAAGCAGAGAGAAATGGGCAGCAATATCAGTTTTCCTGAATTCTCAAGTCTGAGATAGGTCACCCTTCTACTCGCTTGTGGAGAGGCCAAGTTCGATCAGAGCTGGTTCTGTCCCCAAAATGATGGTCACTCACCTCTAGAAGCACAGTTGCTGTGCAGCAGTGAGACAGAAGGCAGGTTGTAGTTGATTGAGAAGAACCTGGAGATGAAAAATTGAAGAGAGCAAATATGGACAATTTAAAAAATATATAGAAAACTTTTGAAGGAAGTTTGGCAATCTTGGGGAGGAGGGAAAGGGAGTAATAGCTACAGGGGGAACTGGGGGTTGAGAGAAAGCTTTTTAAGGCCGCGAAGATGTTGGCATGTTTCGGTACTAACTGGAAGATGCCAGTGGAGAGAGGTAGATAGCTACAGTGGCCCAGGGGGTTAGAGCTTCGTCCCTGGGAGAGAGGAAACTGCACTGATTCCTCGCTCAGTATTTGAATGAATGCCTTCTCTGCACCGGGTACTTCTGTATCCCAGGCAAGGGGTTATATTGATTTTTAAGTTTGTTCGAAGTAAACAAACAGTGCAAAAATCCCCATACTCATGAGCACAGGCAATCAACAATAAGCAAAATATTAAGTAAAATACATAGTTTATTAGGTGGTGAAAAATAAAAGAGAAAGGGGATGCAATTTTTTAATTTTTGTCAGGAAAAGCTGCACCAAGAAGGTGGCATTTGAGTGAAGGCTTAGAGGAGGGATGGAACAAATTACCTGGTTATTTAGAAGTAAGAAGTCCGAAGACTCTTCTCTGGAGGTCAGGAAAGAGGATCAGGGGGACAGAAGGGTGTTGTGTAGTGTTGAGGGTCCGCTGAGGTTGAGGACAGTTAGTTTTCCGTCTCTCGGCTGTGTGATTTCTGCACTCCTCCAGCAGCCTAAGTCTAGTTGCACGTAAGGTGGGCAGTAGTGTCGACCCAGGGTTGGGGCCTGGCCATACGGGTGTTATGGAAGTGCAATGGGACAAAGGTAAGAATTTTTGAATAAGAGATTGGCTGAAGTGATAGGTCATGAAACCTATGGTGAGTAGGGGAAAGGAGCGGAGGTGAAGTAGCTGCCGGGGAGAAGGAGTGAGTGTATCTGCTGTACAGAATAAGTGCATCCAGAACAGGACTCTTGCTGCACTGATCCGTGGAGTTGGAAGGGACCCAGCTCTGCCTCTTCATTCAGTCTTTATTATACTAAATACAAAATTAGGTTAGTGAGAGGACAAGTGAGTTTTTTTAACTTTGCAGAGTTCGATATTTCTTCGATTCCTAGAAATTGCTTTTAAATTTTGTATACTTTGGTACCAATGTTGACGAAAAGTAGTAGAAAGTCGCTGTGGAAAGCTCTGTCTGAAAATAGTCATGGGGAGGGATGGGATCGTTCAACGTCTATCACAGCTTTCCTCCCGGGAACTTCCTCTTTCTGTTTAAGCAACTGTCATTTATTTATTCGAGTTTTGCAGGCTTAGTATGTGCTATTCACTTGGCGTTCGGAGATGAATATGACATGTCCCACACTTGAGAAGCTTGCCTATATTTGAATTGAAAGCAGGAAATAAAACATTCTTTTTTAGTGGGTGTCATTATGGATAGATAGTCAAAATTTTGCATTTCAAAGTCACTTGAAATCATCCTTTCTTTGTGTGCTTATTTATCCAACATGATATACAGTCAGGTTCACCGATTTCTTTTTGTTTTCCATTTTTATGGGCTAAATTGTTTTTCTTTTTAAGTCCAGAAATGTATGTTAAATGTTGATTTTTTTAAAGTCAAAATTGTAAAGCAAAGCACATTTGGAAAAACCTAGTATCCATTCTCTTGTCATCTCTGCCCTGTTCCTCTCCCCCCATAAGAAACTTAAAAAAACTTTTTGATTTATTTTTCCATTGTAAGTAAATGTGTATGTGTGTGTTTCTGTTTGTATTCTTCCTTTTTACACAAAAGATAGCGTAACCACTTTCCTGCTTCTTGCTTTTTTTTTAAAACTTAGAAGTATACTCCAGAAATGATTTTATAATTTATAAGTGTATGATTTCATGTTACTCCATTGTGTGGATTTCACAATTCAGTCAGTTTCCTAGTTGAATTATGAACACTTGGGTTATTTTCAGTCTTTTGCTATCATGAATTGTTCTGTAGCCTTGTACATACATCATTGCATTTTTTTTTGCCAGTGTGTCTTTGGAATAGGAGAATAGTCTTTCTTAAAATGAAAAGTCTGAATAATGACTGGGTCAGTATGGGAGAGAGGGTGACTTCAGACAACCAGTTTCAGCATTTTAGAAAGCTTAATGGAAATCTAATTCCATCATTGATTGCATAGGCTAAGATATCAAGGGTTTTTTTTTTCTTGCTTTTGACAGGAATTTCATCTATTTCTGGTGATGACAGTAATATTGATCTTTTTTGTTGTTACTTAGAATTGGGAAAATTCTTCATATATGACGTTTAGTGAACAAAACCTTTCAAAACAGGGGTTTGGGAAACAAAGACAGAGAACGGGACTTTTGGTTCATTCTTGAGCCTGAGTCATGGAGTGTGAGAAAACATGTTTTTAGGAGCTGTAATTTTTTTCTCCTGTTTTATTTTAGACTTTATTTGTATCTTCTTATTACTACTTTTTAAAAAATCCTCACTGGAGGATATGTTTATTGATTTTAGAGAGAGAGAGGAACATAGATGTGAGAGATAAACATCTATTGACTGGCTGCCTCTCTTACATTCCCCAGCCAGGGACTGAACCCTCACCTTTTGATGTGGTGTGTGGGACAAGGCTCCAACTGACTGAGACGCCCTGGGCCTAGACTGTATTTTTTTGTTCCATGAATCTAAAGCAGTGTTACTCTTGCCTTGAGGTAGAATTCAGCTACATTATCTCAAACTAATGGTAATCAGACTGTATTCTCTACCAGAAAGGATTATCTCTGGATTTAAAAAAGTTAATGCCATAATTGAAGGGAAATAAAGACATCGAAGTTACTGTGTTATGAGTCAATTATTGTGTTACGAATCAATTAGTGCAGTAGTGGCAGTTTTTGTTGTGCTGCGTCTCCCCCCAGCACTAATTGTTTCTCATCTGGAAGCGCTAAAGACACAGCGAAAAAATGTCAAAGAATCAAACATATTGTGGTCCTTGGTCTCATCGTTTTCTAAAACGATCCATGTCATGGATGTCAATATTTAAAGTTACTATTAGCTCAAAAAGCCATAATAAAAATGTGTCGAAGTTGATGTAATTGTTTTAGGAGTTGTTTTCGGGTTCCCCAAGCCATCCAGCCTTCTAGGATTGCTCTTTATATACATATATATCCACATGTGTATGTGTATAAAGAGAAATGTATATACGTACATGTACACATGTATGTGTGTATGTACACACACATGCACACACACACAACTGGTCTGAGCCTCTGCCCATACGTCCCGGAAATTCCTCTCCGCTGACCAGAGGACTTTCTCGCCGGCGGGGACTGTGTGCTGTGTACACCGTCTGTGGTCACTTCTCATGATTTTCTCTCTCTACTTACTTTTTTGTCTCGGCCTCAAGCTTTTGTCTTACATTAACCAAGGGGAGTAACACAAGTTCTTTCCCTTTCATTTTCTTGATACTTTAGCACAAAGGAACAGTTGCCGTAGATTTTTCCTGAAGTTTGGCCGTTACGAAGGATTCTCAGACTCAGATGCGGCGTCACGCCCCCGTTCTGCAGGCAGGACGCTCAGTCCGGTTCTTGTCTGAGCGCCCTCCCCCTTGTTCCTGTTACCCTCCGCGGGCCCGTCAATGTTTAGCACAAGGTCTTAAAAATACAGGATGTTCCCCTCCCCACTACCATCTTATGGGCAAGTTACACTTAATAGATGGAAAAATAATCAAGATTTTTGTATTGCTGTGCCTTCACATTTTAGCAGCTTCTGTGCTGAAGGTATGTAAGTGCACACAGCAACAAAGTCAGTATTTAAACAGCATTTTTATATAATATTTTAACAGTACTTTAAAGTACTATTGTGGGCATTTGATAGACGTCTTAGGGAAATGTTACATAATACCTTGTTTTTTCTAGTTCAACTGTGGCTCTACTGAGAGCTGAAGTACACAGAAGTTATTCTCCCCGGAGGTCGGCTTGTCCGTCACCTGAGGCTTTGATGGGCAGTGTGGGCAATCTAAGGAGGCTAACGACGCACTATATGCAGTTTTCTTTTAGCATTCTCATTGGACCAAGGTTACTGGATATGAGATTCTCCCGCAAATTGAGTTTTGGATCCTTGAATGGAGAACTAATGCATTGTGGGAGTTTTCCTGAGGGAAGCTATGCTTATTGATACTGATTTTTATTTAATTTCGACTAACTTTTTAGTATAAGATATTGAATAAGTTTATTAAGTAATATAGATTTTTCTCTTGGAGAACTTGAAACTAAAATGTTAATAGATTGAAAAACTCCCTTTTTGGTTTTCTTTGCTTTTTCCTTATACTACTGTATGGAGTATTTAAACCAGGAAACTGATGTAATGGATTAGACATATGGCTTAGTTACCATATACTGGTGCGTGTTTGAGCATTTCAATGGCTTTTTAGTGCTGTAAAGTGGTAAGTAAACATAAAGAAGAAGATCTTGTATACAGTTGCTATAAAAATGCTTAAAATGTAACCCTGGCTATGTAGATGGGGTTATAATTGAGGAACATGCTGCTTTGGAAAGAAATTAAATGTGAAAAAGTATTCATCAATTTTGCTATCACTCTGTAGTCAGACCTTTAAGAGTACATATTAAGAGTGAAAAACCCCTGGGGTGGAGATGGAGAAGTAGACAGTGAAATAAAGATAACTCTGGGATTGTTGCCAGTGAAGTTTTAATGAACCTCATTCATAATTGTTTCCCTGAAACTGACTTTATACAAGACCTTTCATTCTCTGGAATACACAAGCATCTCATGAAGGATGCTCAAGCTTGTCTTTGCAACTTAATGCATAATCACAAAATTGCCCAGTGGGGCTTAGTTGTAACATAAGTACCATTTTCCTATCAGACTGAGATTTCTGATGTTTACAACAGGCCTGAGCAGCACTAGGTAATTTTTTTTAACAAACTCACTAACAAATGTTATGGGTTTTTTTTCTTTTAGAATGAAGACCTAGTTTGCTTCAAAGATATCAAACCAGCAGCACCTCATCATTACCTTGTGGTGCCAAAGAAGCATATTGGAAACTGTAGAGACCTAAAGAAGGAGCAGATAGAACTTGGTAAGATGATGGCAGTATTTCTGGTGGTTCTGTCATCTTCGTTGGCATTAGTGATAGCAGTGGCAATTAAAAAGCCTAGCCAAGTATTATGAAAAGGAGCATTATGACTTTCTGAAGCTTTCATTATGAAAAATTTGAACATTTTTTATTTTTTCCAGTAAAATGATTGTATTTTATCATTCTAAAATGTCCCTGTTTATCTCTGGAAATAGTTCTTGAGCTTATTTTGAATGGTATTTAGCTGCCTCAACCTTCTTACTACTTACTGTTTGCACTGGTTAGCTTTTCCTATCCTTTCAGCCAAACTGAATTTTGTATTTAAAGTCTTGAAGATAGCAGTGCAGTTACTTCTCTTCTTTCTTTTAGTGTATGTGAAAATACCTCTCTTACCCGAGTGCTCAGTGCATAAGCATTTAATGTAACTTCTGCTGTAGCTGGATTTAGATCTGCTGTCTTGTCGTTTGTCTTCTCTTGGTCCCATTTGTTTTTTTGTCATCCTGCTTATTCTTTCCTGCCTTCTTGTAGTTGATAAAAATCTTTTTTTTTTTAGTATTTCATTTTATCTGTTCTCTTTTTTAGGTATCCCTCTTCCCATTTTTTTGAGTGGTTGCACTATGGAGATTAAAAGACACATATTGTAATGATCACAGCCTGTTTGAGTTAACATTGTATCACTTCATGTAAAGTGTGAGAAACTTTTGCAACACTTTATTATTGTTGTCATATGTATTTCATCTACATATTTTCTAACCCCATAATACTGTTAAAATTATTGTTTTAAACAGTCATATATATCTTTTAAAGGAAGTATAAGAGAAAATAGCTTTTTATATTTACCCACATTTTGGTGCTATCTGGCATATCTCAGAGGAAAACCATGTACACTCTGGCTAGAAGTAATGGGAGCTTATTTTTGACGTGAGGTCTGGCAGCCTCCTGCATCCAGCCTCATTTAGAGAAGTAAGCATCAGGAACAGATTTCGAAACCTTATTATAACAACTAACCTCTGTAAATCTCTCACTTTCCCCCCTTTTAAACAGGTAATTATACCCTTCAGAAACAGAAGATGGATGGTTACTGTCATTGTGATTTGAAGATGGAGGGTTACCAAAGTTTTCCTAGTGGGGAGGCGTAGTCCCACCTGGAGGCCATAAAGCACTGAGACAGTTAAAGGTGCTGAGGCAGATAGAGTTTGGAAGCCAAAACAGGCCCACAAATATTTAGCTAGTCAAGGCTAAGGTGACCTGAAGGGATCTCATAATCCCTAATGTGGACTCGAAGACAAATTCATTGTTTTCTTGTCTTCTTAATTCAGACAATTTTTAATTGCTTGGTCTCGTATAACTAGAATTAGACCTCAGTAGGATCAGATGTCCTAAATAGTCATTCGATAATACCCCTCAACAACTGCTCAGAGTCAGCCCATGTGTGGTATTTTGTGATAGGTGGAACCGTCATTTCCGTTGTTGATAAGCAAACTTCTCAGTAACTGAAGGCATTGAATGTGTCTTTAAATGTTTATCTATTAGAGACCATTTTGACTATGATCCTAAAAGTTAAGATTAACAATGCTTTTGGGAACTTAATGTCTCCTATGGTGTAATATACTTTCCTGTTTTACAGTTGAAAACATGGTTACTGCTGGGAAAACCATTCTTGAAAAGAATAATTTCACTGACTTCAAAAATGCGAGGTATGTAGACTTCCAGGTAGAAACCAATATTCACAGTTGGTTTTTCGGAAATACTATTTCCTCGTGGGAACAGAAGGCAGAGGTGACAGAGTTCACAGTCTAAATGCAGTGTTCCTCAAAGTGAGTGCACAGTTATTGGTAGGGTAAACTGAAATAAAAACCTTCCTCTTCTTGTGCTTCAGCACCTGATAATTGCCGCTTATAGTTTGGATAGACAAGTTTATTCAAGCAGTGAGTAGGCAGATAGTTACAAGTCCACTTTTTGTTCATTATTTGTATTTCCATAAAACTGTATAAATTGATAAAATCTATAAAACTGTGTGTAAATCAACTTTTCCTTAGAAAATATTTTATGTGATTTAAAAATACATTATTATATGTTTAGCATGAAATTAACCTGAATATGTTGCCTGCTAAACTGAACTCTGGCATTTGTCAAAGTTTGAGCCAAAGCACAAAATGTTCAATTTGGCAACTGTTTTTTTTTCTTTTTCTTTCTGAAACATTTCTGTGACTTTTTCTTGTGTGACCAAAGCAGTTCCGAGGCAGGTAGAGTGGAGATGACTCCTGGCACCTCTGAACTGGAATTCTGAGAGGCCTGAGATCTGATGCTATCCGTGCTACTTGCTGTGTGTACTGTGCTGATACCGCCTGTTACTTTTTAGACAAGTCTTTAACCTCTCCTAGGTGATACCTGCTCTGCCTACTGCAGGCTCAGATGAGACAATGTGTGAGAATCTTCTGAAAATGGTTAAATACTACCCAAGGGTAATAATGACAAGGAACAGGTGGCATTCGATATCCTTTGGTCAAAAGCAGCACATCCCCTCACCAGCCACAGGCGTGCTGCTGCTGGCTATAAGAACGGACACTGCGTCTAAATCCTCACTGTACCGCTCCCGAACATCGGGACTTTAGGGAGCCTCGTAAACTTTCTGGATCATGGCTTCCCCATCTTTACAGTGAAAGGGAGTTTCTTTTAGCTTCCCAATTGCTTGAGTCCACGTTCTATGCCTTGTATTTCACAGAGGGAAAACCTAGTCTTCTTTTCTAGGAAGTGGTGGTAGCTTTTCAGTGTGTGTTGCACGTCTGACGTCCATGGTCAGTCCTGTACTGATACAGCGTAGGACTTCTGTGACTTTTCCATTTAGAGTGAGTGGACTGGCAAAAATGTAGATGGATTTTTGAGAGGTTCAATCATACGAAAGATTTCTTCTACTAGTCAAAGGAATTCTCTAGTGTTGTATAAAGCAAATGAGTATTAATAATTATAGCCTAACCTTACATTATTAAACAAGATACTCAAGTGATGATAAAGCTCTTTAAATGATGATATACTTAATTTTTCTACTGAATTACTGGTGGTAAGGACAGGATTTACTGCTTTTATTAAAGGGTAGAGCACGCCATCTACTGGCCATGTCCTGGAATAATGAACCATCCTTCAGTGTCCTGTACTTTTCTTCAAAATTCATTGCTGAGGCATATTTTAGGAGAATTAAAGCTTAATATGATAAATACTGACAGTGATAGGGTGGAATGCCAACTCAGAACTCATGAAGGTTTTACTAAGGCACGATATGCTGTCGAGGCCTTCCTTGAGGAAGCGTTTATGGTACTGTGTGCTTAAATGCGAAGAGAAGAGGAACTGTGTGAGTATTCCGAAGTAGATACAGAAAAACAGGAAAAGCAATGTCTGAACACAAATCTACCTTGGGTAACCTATTTTAAATCTCTTTAATATTTCTGTGTTTTATCATGAAAAATAGCTTTGAAGTGTCATAGAAACGATGTGTCAGTGGTCTGTTGCCTTTCTGTTCAGGATGGGTTTCCACGTGCCACCCTTCTGTTCCATTTCCCACTTGCACCTTCACGTTCTGGCGCCAGTGGATCAATTTGGCTTCTTTTCAAAATGGGTTTATAGAGTGAATTCATACTGGTTCATCACAGTAAGTATTAACTGATATACTAGCAGCATACAAAAATATTTAAAATATCTGTCCTTTTTCTTGTAGTTTTTCTTTTCTGGCCAACAGCTTTCATACTTGATCATCTGTTTTAACATACTACTGCTTGCACATATCCAAAATAGTACTTTTAATTTGGGGGGTTTTCCAGATCATCAGATCTATAGGAAGAGAAGCTATAGCTAAGTCTCCCCATTGCAAGCAGAGGATATGATGGAGAATGACCATGGCATTGATAGTTCAGAATCCGGAATTTAGTCTGGATTCAAGTTCTGGCTTCATTAGTTACTTGAGGGACCATGTGTAAGTAACTTAAATTTTTCAAGGCCCAAATTCTTGACTTGTGTATAAGTAATAATACCTACTTTTAGGGTTGGTAAGAGAATTGATGAAATAATTTATTTGTACAGCACTTAAAATTGTATCTTGCAAATAGTACATACTCAGTTAATGTAGCTTGTAGTCTGTCCTCATCATCATAGTTATTGTAGAAATTGAGTTTTTGTAATTTTTGATAGTTTAAACTTCTTAAAAAAGGTCTGCAGAAGTAGCATCATCTACCAGATCTGAGATTGAAGCTTTGTGCCTAGTAAGTTACAAAATTCTGTAATTATAGAACTCAGTAGAATAGAATTCAGCTGGTTATAGGCCCTGGGGCCTGACGGTCAAGCAGCCTCAGTTCCTAAATGACTCTGTCCTTCCAGTGCCACGTGAGTAGTGATTTATCAGACTCCTGTCTTCTGTGTCCACGATGATAAGGTGGCCTGTAGTTGCTGTGTCTGAATAATGATCAAATGGTAAATTAAATAATTACCATTAGTTAATGCATATTATTTTTTTATAGTCATAGTATAATATGTAAGAAATTCAAAGGCATCTTATTTCTAGAAACTTAATATTTCAAACTTATTCCTCTCTTCAACTTGTCTAGATGATTTTATTTAATTAAAACTATATTTAAGAAATTTTTGTGTATATATATTTGAAATAAAACATGGAAAATTCTGTAGGACAGTTGGTTTGGTCTCTAAAATATCAGTGGGGTAAAAAGGATTTTTTTCTTATTTGTATTTCTAATTTTCTACATGACCCATGCTTTTATAATAAAAATTAATTAAAAATACATATTTGTAAAATAGTTATGGGGTTGTAAAGTACAGTATAGGGAATATCCTCAATGATATTGTAATAACTATGGTATCAGACTTATGGGGGTAAACACTTCCTAAGGTATATAAATGTCTAACCATTATGTTAAACACTTAAAACTAATATAATATTGTATGTCAACTGTATTTAAAAAATGAATTTTAAAAAAATGAAGGGAATTCTTACCCATGCTATAATATAGATGAACCCTGAGGACGTTAAACCGAATAGTATATGATTCTACTTATACGAGGTACCTAGAGCAGTCCAGCTCACAGAGGCAGAAAGTAGAATGGTGGTTGCCAGGAGCTAGGCCCTGGGAGGGTGGGGGAGGGGCAGAGGATGGGGAGTTACTGTTTAGTGGATACCTAGTGTTGTTTTGCAAGTTGAAAGGGGTTTTGGGGGTGTATGGCAGTGATGGTTGCGGAGCATTGTGAATATATGTGATATCATTGACCTGTGCATTTAAAAAAAATGGTTTAGATGTTAAATTTTATGTGTAGTTTTTCACCGCAATAAAAAATTTAAGAACAAAACAAAAAAAATCACTTTTGTAATGTTTTAAACTATTCTTACATAACTTTTTAGTTGGAAAAAATGAACAAAGTTATAAGATCTGTTAATGGTTCATCCTGGGAATCTGAACTCTTCTTAAATCTGTCAGAATACAACATATTATGAGACTTTAAAAAAATCAAGATAAAGATATTAAAGTTTATTCCAAAACCTCTTATATAATATTCTAGGTCTATAAGATGATTGAGAAAAGTATCTGAAATGGTGCAACTTGAAGGCTTTACTTTTAATTTTTTAAATAGACTTTATTTGTTAGAGCAGTTTTAGGTTCACGGCAGAATTGAATGGAAGGTACAGAAATTTCCCACAAACCCTGCCCCCACACACTCACAAGCTGTCGGCATCCCACACCATGGTGATGCATTTGTTATACCCCATAAATCTGCACTGGCAAAGCACTGTCAGCCAAAGTGCATAGTTTAGGTTAGGGTTCATTCTCGGTGGTGTACATTCTGTAGGTGTGGACAATACATAATGACATGTGTCCACCATTACAGTAAACAGAATAGTTCCACTGCCCTAAAAATTCTCTGTGCTCTGCCTATTCATCTGTCTGCCCCCCTTAACTCCTGGTAACCACTGATCTTTTTAATTTATCCACAGTTTTCCTCATCCAGAATGTCATTTGGTTGTAGTTGTACAGTTCTGTACTCTTTTTCAGATTTTTTTCCATTTAGTAATAATGCATTTAGGGTTCCTCCATGTCTAGTTTACATTTAACAACTTTAGGATTATATTTATTTTTCCTATTGCAACTTCTTAATGACTATGCAGTGTGGTTGTGGATAAAATATGCCTATTTATATGCAATGTAGAATACCTTTACTATATTTTATAAAACTATTATATTTAGTTGTTTTGTAAGATACCTTTAGGAACAGAATTTGTATTATCCAGCTTGTCTGCTGTGGTTTATAATAATAGGGATGCCAGTAGAATTATTTCACACTGACTGTGATATCTGAAATAAAAAGTATGTTGTATTTTTGAAATTACAGGCTGATTATTTGATTGAAAAACTAAGAACATGAAAATGACAACAGTGGAAGATTTTCTTAATCTTGGCTCAACATAAACTAATATTTTGGTTCCTTTTAATTCAGATTACAATGGTAAGGTTTGTTGGGTTTTATAAGAGGCTATTATTGGGTAGCCTGAAATCTTTTCTGAACATCTGTTTCCTGGGATCTGCGATATAGTTATATGAACACTTTGTCCTTGACTTTAATGGTTACTTGTCTAAGATTTAAGATACTAAATATAAAATCCCATTAAAACAAATTCTGTTAATCAGGAAGGACTCTATATTAAAATTTTTTCAAATATTTTCATTTCTCACTATAGTCAATTATAATATATTAGGAAAAATAAACTGGTATAGAAAGTACTTTGTTGGAGTCTTTATTACTATGAAAGAGAAAAAGAAATTGACTATTTCTTGACAGTTCCATAATTTTGCACATAAAATTTAAAAATAAAGAGTACTGAGCTACAGAGTGATCTCTGATCTTGATGGGAAGAATTTGTATATATATCACTTTTTACTCAGATTTCAGTTTTCACTTCTTGAAGCCTGGAATCTGTGTAATAAATTAGTCCTGAAAGCTATATAATATGTGTAATGACTTCTAACAGTGACTTTGCAATACCAGTTAATTTGACTGTCTGAGGGAATTCACTGTAACTGAATTTTACTTGTAAGAAGTTGTGGGTAAGAAACATAAACTGGTTATATTAATTTATTAAAACTGGCAGAAATTGTTGCTTTATGGCTTGTTTACTGTACCAAAGGAAAATCAGAATTAAAAAATGATCAGAGCTAGCTTTTATCATGGAAATAGCCTGGTTTCAAAGTAGAGATAGAAAGCCTTGGATGAGAAATTTTATTTTAATAACAGTGTTAATTGTATTGGTACATAATTTTGTGGGGCCTGCTTCTTTGGGAATTGTCCTGTTGCTAATCTGGACTCATCATATCACTGTAGGATAAAGAGGAGAGGCTGAAAGCTAATGCTCTCTCGAGCCAGTGTCTAGTGAGTACTGTGACTGAGCGTGAGGATTGAAGTGTTGATGTTTGAAATTGGCTAAGACGACTGGTCTTCTTTCTTATTTTTTACATGATATTAAACATAGTTTTAAGTAATGAAATACTAATTACAATGTTTAGTTACAACATCTGGAATCACTGATGTTCAGTTCATTCTTTCATTTTATTCATTCAGCAAATATTTGCTGAGCATTGAACATGCACCAGATGTTGCCAGGAGTGGGAAATACGGAAGTGAGAAAGGACTGCCTTTAGCTGCTCACACAAGGGTCAGAGAAAACCGATGATTACAGCTGAGTCTGTTAAGTGCTAAAATGTCTGCAGAGGAGGCTGTGGGGAGGGAAATCTTTTGTGAGCAGGTGGCAGTAGAATTGAGTCTTTAAGACTCAATGTTAGACAGGTAGGCAGTGGAACTTTAGATTGAGAGACCCAGGTATACTTTTCTTGTGTTCTTCTTCCAGTATTATTTACTTCACAGTTGATATGAATGCCCAAGTTCCATTTTATTCACTAGAGGTGGAGAGAGGGATCTGGGAGTAGTGGTATGGATCCTCCAAATTAGATTTACAAGTTAAATCTTAACTGCGTTGTTAAGTAGCTTGCTGAGCACTTACATAGATCGGCAACTACAAGCTTTTATAAATCAGTTCACGTGTGATACAGAAAGGGAATATTCAACATGTATGCCATGTTGTACTATGTGAATTTGCAATGATATAATTGACAATATTATGATAATAACATTTAATACTTAAGGAATTTTCAATGCCTTATGAATCTTTTTTAAAGAAGTGTTAGCCAGTTGTTTTAATTTATATAGGTTTATACTCTCTCACAGTAAATTTTCCTTCTTTGTTGGAAACCCCTTGAAACTTTATATTTTTAGTGGCAGTTTTACCTATAAAGGTTAATAATCAAATTACTGCAATTAAAATTCACTTAGTCTTTTCAGTAGTTTATGAATTTGGTAGCTATAGCTGTCTATAACATTAGCTCAACACAAAGCTAATTTAAAACCTATCTTAAACCCTGGCCAGGTGGCTCAGTTGGTTGGAGCATTGTCCCATGCACCAAAAGGTTGCGGGTTCGATTCCCAATTAGGGTACATACCTGGGTTGCAGGTTTGACCCCTAGTCAGGGTGGGTACAGGAGACAACCAAAAGATGTTTCTCTCTTTCTCTCCCCTGCCTTCCTCTCTCTCTCTAATCAATAGACATATCCTCGGGTGAGGATTTAAACAAACAAACCTGTTTTAGAAATATTTAAATGTTTAAAGTAGTATCAAAAGCATTATTTATATATGTTATCCTACTTTTTGTTTGTAATTGGAGAATTGTAAAGTTCTTAATAATGAGCTATTTTAAACTGTACGTAGCTGAAAGAAAGCTAAATAAATATGGCAAAAATACTGTGTCAAATTCTGCGTATCTGAACTTTTTGTTTTTAAACACTTTATTGTTTTAGGGTAGTTTTAGGTTCATAGCAAAATGGAGAGGAAGGTACAGAGACTTCCCACATAGCCTCTGCCCCACATGCATAACCGCTCCCATTATCAGCATTCCCCATCAGAGTGGTACACTTGTTACAATCGATGAACCTACATTGACACATAATTACCCAAAGTCCATAGTTTAAGGCTCACTGTTGGTTTGGGCAAATGTATAATGACATATATCTATCATTATAGTAGCATACAAAGTGTCTTCACTGCTTTAAAAATCCTCTGTGCTCTGCCTGTGCACCCCTTCCCCTCCAACCTCTGGCAGCCACTGATCTTTTTATTGTGTGCATAGTTTTACCTTTTCCAGAATGTTATATAGTTGGAATCATGCGATGTGTGGCCTTTGGGATGGGCTTCTTTTACTTATTAATACACATTTAAGTTTCCTTCGTGTCTAATAGGTCACCTCTTTTTAGTGCTGAATACTATTACATTGTCAGGATGTACCACAGCTTATACAACCATCTACTGAAGGCTATCTTGGTTGCTTTCAAGTTTTGACAATTATGAATAAAGCTGCTATGAACACCTGGTCCTTGCTGGGTGGCTCAGTGGGTTAGAGCATTGCCCGATAAGCTGAGGTTGCTGTCTTGATCCCTGGTCAGGGCATATACAAGCATCAACCAATGAATGCATATGTAAGTGGAACACCAAATTGATGTCTCTCTTCCCCCACCCTCTCTCAAATCAGTTAAAACAAACACCTGTATGCCAGTTTTTGCGTGGATATAACTTTTCAACTCCTTTGGGTAAATACCAAGGGGCACAACTGCTGGATCATTTGGGAAGTATATGTTTACTTTTGTAAAAAACTGCCAAACTGTCTTCAAAGGTGGCTGTACCATTTTCAGTTCCTACCAGCAATGAATCAATTTCTGTTCCACATCCTTGCCAAAATTTGATGTTGTTAGTGTTTAGGACTTTGGCCATTCAAATAGGTATTCTCATTGTTTTAATTTTCCTTTCCCTGATGACATATGGTATGGAGCATCTTTTCATAGGCTTTTTTTTGCTATCTGTATGTTTTCTTTGGAGAGGTGCCAGTCAAGGTTGTTGGCCCATTTTTAAGTCGAGTTGCTTGTTTTCTTATTTTTTAGTTTTATGAGTTTTTTGTATATTTTGGGTAACAGTCCATTCTCAGATGTATGTTTTGCAAATATTTTTCCCAGGTTGTAGTTTGTCTTCTCATTCTCTTTAACATTTTAGAGAGCAGTTGTTTTTAATTTTAATGAAGTTCAGCTTATCAGTTAGTTCTTCCATGGGTGGTGCCTTTAGTGTTGTATCTCAAGAGTCATTACCCTAGTTAAGGTCATCTAGATTTTCTCCTGTGGTAGGAATTTTATAGTTTTGCGTTTAATATTTAGTTCTGTGATCCATTTTGAGTTAATTTTTGGTGAAAGTTGTGAGGTTTGTGTCTAACTTCATTTTTTTTAATGTGAAGGTCCAATTGTTCCAGCACCATTTGTTTCAAAGACTATTTTTATTCTATCATATTGCCTTTGTTCCTTTGTCAAAAATCAGTTGACTGTATTTATATGGGCCTATTTCTGGGCTCTGTTTTCACCAATACCACTGCTTTGATTACTGTAAGCTTTATAGTAAGTCTTGAAGTCAGGCAGTGTCAGTTTTCCAGCCTTGCCCTTCTCCAGCATTGTGTTGGCTGTTCTGGGTCTTTTGCCTTTCCATATCAACATTAAAATTGGTTTGTTGATATGATGTACATATCAGTTTGTTGTACAAAATAATTCGCTGGGAATTTCATTGGGAAGAACTGATATCCTAACTATTGAGTTTTCCTATTCGTGAACATAAAATCTCTTTCCATTTATTTAGATCTTTGATTTTGTTTATCAGTTGTTTTTTTGTTTGTTTTCCAGGTGTAGACCTTACACATTATTTTTGTTAGATTTATGCCTAAGTATTTTATTTTGGGGGTTCTAATGTAAATAGTACCATGTTTTTAATTTTAATTCCACTTGTTCATCACTTGCATATTAAGAAAGCAATTGACTTTTGCATGTTAACTGTGTATTCTGCAACCTTGCTATAATCCCTTATTAGTTTTAGTAGACTTTTTTATTGATTGTTTTGGGTTTCCCACATAGATGATCATGTCATCTGTAAATAAAGACAGTTATGTGTCTTCCCAATCTGTACATCTTTTATTATCTTATTGCATTAGCCAAACTTTCCAGTGTCATGTTGAAAAGGACTGGGAAGAGGTGACATCCTTGCTTAGTACCTGATCTTAGTGGAGAAGCTTTGAGTTTCTATGATGTTAGCTGTAGGTTTGGTGTAGAAATTCCTTATTGAAGTTGAGGAAGTTCCTACTAGTTCTAGTTTACTGAGATTTCTAATACAAGTTGTGTTGGATTTTGTCAACTGCTTTTATTACATCTATTGATATGATCATATGACTTTACATTTTTAGCCTGTTGTTGTGATGGATTACAATAATTGAGTTTTGAATGCTGAATTAGCCTTTTATACCTGGGATAAATCCTACTTGTTCATCTGGACTTTTTTTTTTAATAGTCCTAAAAGCAGAAGTTCAAATGATTTAATAAACTGGCCGATCCTAGCGTATGAGAGGTTCAGTGTCAGAGATGTAGGTATGCCTCTTCATATAAGAATCCAAGGTGCCCTGGCTGGTGTAGTTCAGTGGATTGAGCGCTGGCCTGTGAACCAAAGGATCATGATTCAATTCCCAGTCAGGGCACATGCCTGGGTTGCAGGCCAGTCCCTAGCAGGGGACCCATAAGAGGCAACCATAGATTGACATTTCTCTCCCTCTCTCCTTCCCCTCCAAAGATAAATAAATAAAATGTTAAAAAAGAAAGAGTCCAAGGTCAAGAGCATAGTCTTTATTAGTGCAATACTCATAGATTTTGATGTCAAAAATTCATCTACAAAAGTTGTTCCCCACACAACCATTATATGCCCACTACTCCAGTTCACTAAAATGAAGCCAATACCTATTGATTCATGTTTATGAATAAGCTTATTCTAGCAATAAAAATATAGGGTGGGATGAAAGGTTTACAGTTGTTCATGTAGAAAATACAATAATTAATAAATAATGTAAAAATAAACTCATTTGTGTATTTGCAACTATAAGATTGCTTTTGTCCCACCCTGTATTAAAAAAAAAACCACCACATCTCTGATTCAGCTTAAATAAACCTGGTATCTTGCAATTTCAGTCTCATCGCAAACAAAAGAATCAGATGAAGAACTGGCCTAAAGAGGAGCAGCCCTCTTTAGGGCTACCTATGACTACCCTAGTAAACTTTGGCAGGCCCTGGGTCAGACTTCTTTGGAAAACTGTGTGCCAGCAGCTGAGATACTGGGACAGGTCTCCTCTATCTAGCATAACTCAAATCAGGCTGCCATTTATTTACATCTGTGTGGAAATCAATGGCCCTTGATTATTTGAATTGTGTCAGCATAGAGTTTAAGGATGATGGGGAGAGAAGGCTGAATCTCCATCCCATTCTCTTTTACATTTTTTTTTCTGTGCACAGAACCTGTTTCACAGGTAGCAAATTAGTGGACCTTATTTGCAATTAGGGCTTCAGATTTGCTCTGGGGAGTCTTTTGACCAGAGGACAAGATCTACTTTTCTCTACTTCTGGATGTCTTGCTTGGAACTTAACCTCATGGAGCTGAGTCACACTTAAATCAGCTGCAGCTGCTTAAGTTGGAACTGGTGCTTCATAGTCCCAACTTGTTTAGTTTTGTTTCCTGAGAGCACCTGGTATTCTTTCTCTCCCGGAATTATTTCCATTGAGATTAAAGATGTTGGAGACCCTTCTGGCATCTCATGAAATTAGAACTCCCATAGGAATGCTTCACTGTAGTGAAATTTCCATAGTTACATGATTTGTTCCAATAAAATTTGTTCTCCAGTACTTTCAAAAGCCCCTTGGTTTTTACTCATTGCAAAAATCTGTTCTTAATATGAAGACAATTTTTCTCCCTGTCATTGGTGTACAAATTCCTATGGTTCTTGGTGATAGCCAATCCCTTTTCAGGTGTTTGATGCTCCATCTGATAGAGATGTATGACCAGTTTTGACATTACATGTGACCTCTGCTGTTGGGAACTGTTAACTCTCTGTTCATTTCCTGTTTTCACTGACTGTGTGTCCTACTGTTCTCAACACTCTAGTGGCCTGTTGTAACCAGCACACAACACTCTCTTCTCCAATTCTTGGTCCTTCCCAGCAATGTCTGTGGTTTTTTGTTTTTAAATAACAGTCTGTACCAGAGGCTTCAGTGCTTGCACAACAGTAATCTCCTAAGAGGAGCCAACTCTCTTAGAGTTCTTCCCTGCTAGATGAAGCAGAGATGGAGTTTTGGATCACTTCCCAGAAGACAGACTCTGAACCTCCTTGTCCTTCCAGTACAGTTTAAATTTTTTTGCAAGTCTCCTGATTCTAGTTTGAACACCAACTTCCAAAGTCCTCACTCTCCTGTGGCTCTATGACTACCCTAATAAACTCAAAAACATTGAACCCATCTGGCCGTGGGTCCTTCCAAGGTAGTTGAATTGATTTCAGAGTAGTTTCACACTAACCCTATGTAGGGTTAATTTCTATTTCCCCAAACCATGTATCCAACAGTTTGAGATTCATGATGTCGGCAATCTCCTGCTTGTTCCTGGAGTGAAGAATCAGTGAGGACTTATTTTACGAACCTTGGGCTCAAAGGATCTCGTTAAAAATAAAGGAAACTTTTACATTCATCTGGTTTCTTTTTTACCTTCTGTTCCTATATGCTCTCTGCACAGCATATTATTCCAGGCACGAAAAACAGGACCTCTTTGATATTTTTTTTTAAAGGTGCCCCATTGCCCTGGCCAGGTGGCTCAGTTGGTCCAGTGTCCTCTTGTACATCAAAGGGTTGTGGATTTGATTTTTGGTCAGACCATGAGCCTAAGGTTGCGGGTTCAATCCCCAGTCTGCGTGCATGGGTGTTTCTCTCTAAAATTAGCGAGCATGTCCGCAAGTGAGGATGAAAAAAAGTTGCCCCATTAAAATCTCCTGTGTTTAGTCATTTTGATGCTTTCGCTGATAGGGTGTATCAATCACTATATACTCTTAGTATTTCCTTGGTCTCTGACCCACCTTGGCCGCTCTTCTCAAAGGGTAAGAAACTACCTTTCCATATGTCATACAGTAGCGGTCCCCAACCTTTTCGGCACCCAGTTTCGTGGAAGACACTTTCCAAGGTGTAAGGAGAGGGAAAGGAGATGGGAGGCGGGGTCAGGCTGTATTGCGAACACTGTCTTAATGTAACCAGCTCCTGACGACAACGTGGCCGCTCCCATTGACTGCTACTTGGCGACCTCAACCAGAACAGGCCCAGCAAGCAGCGACAGCCTCTGCTGAAACCGAAGCACCGAAACGCTAGTGTGGTGATGAGCCCTGGAACCCTGGGAGACCACCCCGCCTCCCCGAGCTTCCGTTTCCGTCCTTTCAAGCTCCGCCTCAACGGAAACGACTCAGTCGAAGCGGAGGCGGGATTACGTGCCTGTGCGCTTGCGCACCGTCGCGGGTGCAATGGCGCTACCGTGTTCCTTGAACAGGTATCTGTTGCTCCTGGCACAGGAGCACCTGGAGTTCCGCCTGCCGGTGAGCTTGCAGAGCCCTCCGCAACTTCTGACCGGAGAGGACGGCGCGGTGGGGGTGGCGTGCGGGCGGGCGAGTGCCGCGCAGCCGGAGCGTGCAGGGGTCCCGGGGGGCGTGCTAGTTGGGGATATCATGCATCGCCAGTGCTGCGGTCCCTGGGACTGGCCAAGCTCGGCGAGGGGAGTGTGAGAGAGAAGTTCAGGTACAGTGTCTCTGCCTGGCTAGAACTTTCATTCATTCCGGTACCCGTGTGCCCGGTACCGGGGTTAGGTGAATATGACCCGTCCTTTTCCTCCGGGAGCTCTTCGTTTAACGGAGAATACAGACTGCCGACAGAAAGGCTCAGTGCAGTGTTTTTAAGTATTAAACATGCTTGCCAGACTGTGTGAGGGAGAGTCGGTGGTGGTGGTGGTGGTGGGTGGTAGGGCTAAGTTGATGGAGAAGTTGGGAAGATTATTGTTATTCATTCAAGAAACAGTTTCAGTAGCTATAATTGCACAGGACGCTGGAGGTATAACGGTGACAAAGACAGTTTCTATCTTCAAGGAGTTTATTGTTGAGGCAAAGGGGTGAGCAGATGCCTCAATAAGCATTACGAAATAACATTGGTAAGTGTGATAAGTGCGATGATAGAGAGTCAGCATGGAAATACGAGAACGTGTAGAAGGGATATCGAATCCACCTGAGGGGTGGGGAGATGTCGACCTTTGAGATGGTTTCCGTGAACGGCAACTAAAGAATGAGTAGCAGCCAGGCCAAGGAGAGAAATAAGTAAATTAGAGTTACAAGTTATTGTTATTACTGGATTATGAAATAATGTACCAGGGAGTGACAAGAAGAGAACAGGAGAGGTAAAAAGGGGCCAGATAATCAAAAGCCTTCGATATCCTGGAGATTGGAAGGGCAGTTTATTGAAGAATTGTAAGTAAGAAAGTGAGAGAATTATATTTTTCTTTTAAAGGCACATCGGTAGCAACACAGGATAGATTTGAGGGGAGTAAGGGTAGAATCAGAGACTTGTTAGGAGTCTTTTGGAATAGTCTTTTTAAAAAATATTTTTAAAGATTTTATTTATTTATCTTTAGAGGGGAAGGGAAAGAGAGAGGGAGAGAAATATCAATGTATGGTTGCTTCTTGTTCCTCCCCTGCTGGGAACTGGCCTGCAACCCAGGCACGTGCTCTGATTGGGAATCTAACCGCAATCCTCTGGTCCACAGGCCCCTGCTCAATCCACTGAGCTACACCAGCCAGGCCTGGAACTGTCTCGTTAATAGATTAAGAAGGTTTGAATCAGGTCAAGGGGTAAGAGGATGGGATAAGCAGGGAAAATCGGTGATAAATGATCAGGGCATGATGATTGAATGTGGGGGGAAAGAGGGATAAATCACAGATGAGTCCTGGAGTGGATATAAGTGTGTCTCCACTTGAAGTAGCACAGCCAGATGTAAGCTTTAAATTTTTGTTGTGCTGAATTTAATGTGCTTATGTAACATCAGGTGAAGATGACCAGGAGGCAGTGAATAGGAATATGAGTGTGCCTAGAGTATGGTAGAATGGTCTGGGTAATAAATATCTGGGACTCTTCTGCATATGAACACTAGGAGAGAAAATGAAATTATCAGAGAAAGCATAGCGGCAAAGAGTGGTGAACCGAATACAAGTGTGGGAAATACTGATACTGAGAAGTGAGAAGAAGTCACAAAGGTAGGTTAGTGTCATAACAGGAAGGGTGTGAGGCCACAGAAAACTGGAGGTTAAAGTTTTAGGAATTTTGCTGTAGTTGTGTAGCATTGTTTTTGTGGGGCGGAGGTGCTAGATGGTTAAGTGGACATGAAAAGTGAGGAAAGGGGGATAGAGCAGTGCTTTTAATTAGAGCATAATAGCATAAAAAGGGAAATTAAGAGATTCATTAACAGTTTCAGGGGTCAAGGGATGACCCCTCTTCCCCCTGACCCCTCAGAGACTGAAGAGATGAGGAAAATGGACATAAAGGCACAACAGGAGAAGGCCTTGGTCTTTCCGTGGAGATGGAGAGTGGGCAGAGGATGAGTGTGAGTAGCTAGCTGCTCCAGGGCCTGCTTTCTGAGTTATGAGAAAGTCAGGGTTATTTCTTGAGAGATGCAGAACGAAGATGGAGGGACTGAGGAAAGTAGTATGGTGTTGAACAGGTACATCATTAACCTACTTCCTGTTTTTTAATCCTCACCTTAGGATATGTTTATTGATTTAGAGAGAGGAAGGGAGAGGGAGAAAGACATCCATTAGTTCCTCGTACAGGATAGGACTACTCCCTGACTAGGGATCTAACCCTCCCCCTAGGGGTGTGTCTGATTCAGAATCGAACCTACAGCCTTATGGTGTATGGGATGGTACTCCAACCACAGCCAGGGCATCACCCCACTCTTTTTATTTTTTGATTGTATTATATCTGTATATTTTTAATAGACTTTTACTTCCTTGTGTTAAAATGTATTCTGTCTATAATATTTTCAATATAGGAAATAAAGTCTTTGCTTTCACTTTTTGGAGGTCAGTTCACCAATAGTCAGGAAACTTATGGAAAGGTAAGTTGAATGTATATTTTTCATTAGATCCTATGTAATATACTTATAAATTGAACATTGGATTTGAAGAGAACTTCATATCTTAAATTTACTTGTAGCTGTTTTTAGGGGCAATTGAATGAAAAGCATATTTTGGAAAAAATGTTGTGGTTTTTTGGAAATGATTGAGATATATTTCCAGTATTTACTTATCTCGTTAGTTTATAAACTTTAAGTTTACAATTGTGCTTTAATTTGTATCCATTCCTTCACTGAAAAAAGGGCTGGCTTTCTTTGATGAGACATAATTAGAGTTAGAATTTAGCTGAATTTCAGTTGTTTATTGGTATTCTTTTTAAAACTTGAAATTGTGTGTGTATAAGATTATGAATTTATAAGCTTTCTATTTTGTATTTGATAGTTTATCAGTGTCTTAGAGAAGTTTGGGAATAGAAAAAGAAAGAAAACCATAATTCTTCCTCCTTGACATGACTTACAATTTCAGGATAGCTGCCTTCCGGTCTTTTTTCATAGATTCTTCACCCCCCACCCCCAGTTATAATGCTACTCATGAATTTCCATTGTCTCTGTTTCACTTGGTTCTAGTAATATGAGATGCTACATAGCCTTTATCACTGGCAGGCTATATCTTTTCCATTGATTAGCTCTATTATAATTTAATACTTTCATTTCATTCAGGTTGCTTTAGAATTCTAATATTTCTAGTACTAGGATGACCATCTTTTTTCCTCTTTGAATTTTTTTGAGAGTACTGTGAATACTGGAAGAAGAAACACTAGGTGTGACAGGAAGCATTTCTTGAAAAACATGATAGGAAAGTTCCTGATGTTAGACTTGTACTGCTGAGTGACTTGCACTTATTGAGAAAGGAGGATAAGGAGTGTGGGTATAATTGAATGAGGGTGATGAACTAAGGTCAGGGTGCTGCTAGGTTTTGCTGTGTTCTGGAAAAATGCTCCAATTTGGGTCTTGAGATGGGGGTTGGGGAGAAATCCCCCTGATGCACCTACCACTTTTTTTTTCTCAGCTAGAGTAAGAAAAATTAATAATAATTTATTATTTATCCTATTCCATAGTTATTTCAGAGCTCCCCTGCTAACTTAAGTGGCCACAACCATCTAGAAAAAGAAGGATTATTTGTAGAAGTACCTTACTTAGAAGTTAGAAATAAAAAAGCTGAATTATAAGGAATGATGAGCAACAATGAAAATTTTGAGATTACACTTTGGGATTTTTATGCATTAATTATTTTGGTCAAACTGCATAAGAGAGCAACTATAAAAGTAACCTAAAATTTAAATAACTGAATTTACTGATATTTTAATTTATAGAATCACTTATGAAAGTGTTATGACATTATGCTGTAGTATCCTGACATATGACCTATTAAAATAATTTACTTTTTTTTAAACTGTGAGAACAGTTTTAATTGTGGTTAGATCACATATGATCTAAAAGTAGCAATTAGGATTTTGCTACTTTCCTTATGGACTTCTTGAATAAAAGCATATGAGGCCATAAAACCTCTTAGAAGTTCAATGTTGTTTTTTCTTTCAGTCTCCTTTTTGGATTCTTAGTATTCCCTCTGAAGATATTGCCAGAAACTTAATGAAACGGACAGTGTGTGCCAAGTAAGGAAAACTTACAATGTTCTCCTCCATGAGTGTATACTGTACTTCTCGTAACTCCTTTGTCCTACCTTTTGCTATATTGGCACACAGTAGAGGGGGTTGGTTATTGGGGTGGGGGGTCAGTTTAGCTTGCAGTTACCTGCATTGGCCACTGGATTGGGGTGGGAGAAGAGGAAAGTTACCTGCTGAACTGGGGGGAGAATCTCAGTGGTGAAAGGCAAACACACTTATTTTATAATAACTCTTTTCAACTTCTATACTAAGCAGGACATGCTAAAAGATGTAAACGCCATGTTGTTACATAGGATAAATGCCCTGGTTAATTATAACCAAAATGTTGAAAATCTAAAAAAAGGTTTTTCTTATAGCTGGTTTTTAGTTGGATAAGCATATTGGTGAAGTATAAAGTGGCAGGCAAAAAGTGAGCACTGCCATGAAATAAGTATTACTGTTTTAATGTGGTAGAGCAAATTTATCAAAATTTGGTGTGGATCAAGGTAATGATATTGTTCAATGTTTATCCTACTTGGGTGTTTTCTAGAATTTATCATTGACATCTGTTGTTTTCCTTTTCTTTTTTAAAATTTTATAATTGGAAAATTTTCTATCTCTGATTTTGACAATTAAACTGTATTTTCCACATGCATCTTCAAATTGGACCAATTTATGTTATCTCTGAGTTACTTTCTTTCTGAACGTTTTGGCAGATTACTAAATGCCATTTTTTTATTAGAAATTATAATTAATGATGCAGTGCAAATGCACATTTACATATACCTAGTTTTATTAACATGGTTGGCAATGTTTTATAGCTTGATATGTAATTGCTGTATTATTGAATAGACTGTAACCCCATGTTTAGTTAAATTTGTCCTATTGAAAACTAGCTACAGTACTAAATCTTATCTCTTGAACTGAAGCTTGGGTATAACTTATTTAATAAAAATGACTAGAAAATGAAAACATAACTAAAAAATATATCCTTAATTAATTATTACTTTAGGTTAGTATATTAAAAGTTATGGCTCTAAGAGGTGGTTGATTTCCTAATATATGGTTTATTAGGTTTAAAATAGATACTTGTACACTTGCTTCAGAGTTCATATCTTCTGATGCATATATTTGATAAATGGTACAATTAATAATTGTGTAATGAGTCTACAAATTATATAATAATTTCCTTGGCTGCTTTTTATTCTCTGTATATTTTGCATAGCTGAAGTTATACCTTAAGTGATAGCTAACTAAGAGTAGTACTACTCTAGAGGCCTTTTCTATAAATGTAATAGAAAGAAAAGGATGAATTCATTTTCAAAGGGTAAAATTTACAATCCTGGTGTAGCATTAATTATTCCAGTACTAAAATAGACTATCATAAGCATAGATTTAAAACTAACTTAAATTCAGTTTTTTGTGTGTGGTAGAACAGGTATTGAAAGTTAATTTTGTTAATTTATTTTTAACATGTCCTATTTTGAGCTAACCATTAAAACATGAAAAATATAACAAACACCTAGGTATTTACATTATTAGTTATGAACATTTTGAGATACTTGCCACAATTTTTTCCCCTTAAGAAAATATATGTTTTACATAAACTACTGATATTCCCTGTGCACCTTCCCAATTCCATCTGCCTCCTTCCCTCAAAGGAGAGTTTCTTAAAACTTTTTTGTCTTCTGCAGGAAGATTTTATTATACTGCTCTAAGTGGTGAAATAGTTTAGATCATCACTGATTTTATATTAATAAGTTGACATCTATGCTTATTTATGTGCACCCATGAGAAATGTGGCAATCTGCATAAACTTTGTAATTTCTAAAATAGGGACCCTAATAGGGCAGTCTTACATATGAAAACTTTTTACTCTGAAAATCTGAATCATAAAAGTTATTACAGTAAATTAATATTCAGTTTAACTGAAGCTTTTTATTTTGTCTAACTTTTTATTTTGAACATTTTAAATATAAATTTGTTAATAGTTTATGAATTCTTTCTGTAAAAGATATGATTGTTATTTCATATTTTCTTGACTCTATGTTATTACAAGCATTAGTTCCTATGTTATACTGTGTAATAATAGTTCATTAGGAGTAATTAAGGTCTGTGGAACTGCACACACCTTTTCTGAATGGCCTGGGATTCCTGATTTTTTGCATTTTTGAGAAGCAATGATAAAGAACATGGAGTCGTCTGGAGTCAGATGGCTTGGATTTGAACCCTGGTTTCAATGCCAGATGACCTGAGAGTTATTTAATCTCTTTGTGCCTCAGGTTCCTCATTGTTTGAATGGATGATAATTTCAGCAGCCACCTCATAGGACTCCTATGAGGAATAAATGAATAAATATTAAATGGCCTTAGAATAGCCCGTGTTCTTTGAGTTATACTAAGCGTTAGCACTTACTATTTTTACTTTTCAAGGTTTTTCATTTCCAGAGGTTGCGTTACTTCTGCTTTCCTTCAGTGAATGCTTCCAGGAGTCTTTCTTCTCCCTTAACCTTCACGAATACATTGAGCTTTGCTCTTTGCAACATCCTAGTACCTGGAACAATTCCTGTCATACAGTAATCCTTTAAAAAAAAAAGACTTTATTATTTTTAGAGAGAGTGGAAGGGAGGGAGAAAAGGACGGAGAAAAACATCAATGTGTGGTTGCCTCTCTTCTGCCCCCTACTGGGGACCTGGCCCACAACCCAGCCATGTGTTCTGCCTGGGAATCAAACCAGTGACCCTTTGGTTCACAGGCCCGCACTTAATCCACTGAGCTATACCAGCCAGGGCTACTATACTAATTCTTAGTAAGTATTTATCAAATGAGTGAATTGACCAATCTTAGTTTTTAAACATTAAGAAAAAGAAATTGAGCCCTGGCTGGTATAGCTCAGTGGATTGAGCGTGGGCCTGTGAACCACACGATTGCTGGGTTGCAGGCCAGTTCCCAGCATGGGACGGATGAGAGGCAACCGTACATTGATATTTCTCTCCTACTCTCCTTCCCTTCCCCTCTAAAGATAAATAAAATCTTAAAAAAAAGAAAAGAAAAAGAAATGGAATACTTGGAATTTTGGGACATTTATTTTGAATAGTTCTTTATTGTTTCTCTTTATGCTCTGTGTTTTGTATAGCTGAGGTTACACCTTAAGTGATAGCTGTGTAAGAGTAGGATTACTGTGGAGGCCATCTTTCTGTAAATTCAATATGAAGGAAAGGAGGAATTCATTTTCAAAGGATGTTCTCAATTCTAATGGCAGTGTTAGAAGCACCAAACTATGCTAATATATAGACCGACTTCTGTTATGATTGATTCTAAGAACTATTTCACTGATTGCAATGAAATGTTGCTTGTAATTGTTTAAATGTTCGTTGAAATATATGGTAGCCTGAAAATATTTTTATATGAGAGTTTTCTGTAACAGTTATAAGTGTAATTGTTCATTACTAAATGCTACTAATTAATAGATAAATATTAATAGTAACATTTTTATCTGGTCATGCTTCTTTTTATAGAGAAGACACTGGGAAAATTAGACTTGCCGAATTAGATTCACCTGTTTACTAAAATAACTTAAGTGAGTTTACTACATCATTTTTGTCCTAGTACAAAATATATGATGAAAAGTTGGAAAAATCTTGACTTATGCTAAATTTCTCTCTTTATGTGTAAACGTCAACTCCTCTCTGTGATTTGGACTTAAGCTATATTTGTTTCCGGGATACATATTTCTCATTTATAGCTTAGAAAACATAGGCAGTGGAGTGAGCATAAAAAATAGTGAAATCATTGTTACATGTTACTGTGTTAACCAATTTCTTAACTGAGGTTAGTACTAATCATTTATTTCCTAGGTCCATATTTGAACTATGGGGTCATGGAAAATCTCCAGAAGAGCTGTATAGTTCTCTTAAAAACTACCCTGTGGAGAAGATGGTGCGTAATGATACATTTTTGTATAATTTGTCTGCAGATACTATAGAAATGACTAAGCTTAAAGAATTTATCTACTTTTATTTTAGGTTCCATTTCTACATTCAGATTCTACATATAAAATAAAGATTCACACATTTAATAAAACATTGACACAAGAAGAAAAAGTGAAACGAATCGATGTAAGTGACTTTAGCAAAAACCAAATGCCTGTGAGAGTAATGTCTGGCCCCTGCTGAGCTGTAATAGTGCTCGGTGTCTGTAAAGTGTGTGCTTTGTAGCACATGGGGTGCTGGGTCCGTTTCATGTTTTTTCTTATTTAATACTGGTACCAAACTTATAAGGTAGGTATTATTCTATAAGCATTATTTTTCGTTTTAAACTTTTATAGGACATTAGAATTACTTTTATTTTGTAGGCTCTTGAGTTCCTGCCATTTGAAGGAAAAGTGAATTTAAAGAATCCACAGCATATCTTCTCCGTTTTGGAGGATTACGGTTTGGACCCAAACTGCATTCCTGAGAATCCACATAATATTTATTTTGGTAGATGGGTAAGGAAGTGTTCTTTTTATCTATTTTAGTTTCTTTTCTTTCAAAGCTAAATGTTAGGTCTTGTTATTTAACTCTAGATGTAGAACTTTATAGCAGCCGAAGAGTCAGAACTGTATGAATTCAAGTCAGTGAAAAATATGTGGTTATGTGTTCTCTTTGGTTTTGTTTGTTTTTCTAGACACTCCTGTGTAGTGCAAGAGATTGTTAGACATAGGGCTCAGGTAGGAGGTGGTGTACCTGGGAACATTAACATAAGACTTGTCAGAAAGTCTGAACTGCTTTTTTCATAAAGCCGAGCGAGGGCAGAGTTCTGTGATAGCCGAAGGGTCTCATGTGTGGAGCTCTCCAGTCTGGGTGTCTGTTCTGTAAAGGAATGACCTTATGCTGAGCAGCTCTGCCCACTTCCCGGAGGCTCTCGGCAAGTGGAAGCTGTGGCTTATGTTACAGAATGTTGTTATTTAGGAAAAAACGATGGATAAATCTCACTAATCATGAACCCCTGGAATAATTGCATTCAAATTTAATTTAAATTTGGTGTGAAAAGTCAAAGTAAATGACAGCACTAAGAAATAAAAGATATTTGTCCCTAACTACCTCAATCACATATATTTTTTAAAGGAACAAGTTTAGAGCAGTAGTAAGTGGAAAGAAGTTTTCATCACTGAGGTACTGTGGTGGTTTTATTGTGAATGACTATCTTAAATCTGTAGTTACACCAATTTGAAAACTATCTCTGATCTAGATTGCAGATGGACAAAGAGAACTTATTGAGTCATACAGTGTCAAGAAGAGACACTTTATTGGAAATACAAGCATGGATGCTGGTTTATCATTCATCATGGCCAACCATGGGAAAGTGAAAGAAAATGATATTGTCTTTGATCCATTTGTTGGAACAGGTATTTTTTGTTTAGCTTCTAAAGCTGGTGTAGAAGCTAGTATAGTTGCTTGTTTATATAAGTCAAAGTGATAGTAATGTTTTTGCCAAAAGATTAAATGGACAGAATAACCTTTTATTTATCATTAGTAGTGGCAAAGAGGCAACCACCTATTTGTGTAGTAGCCAGTATTTAGTACTTTTGCCACTTCAAAGGCAATGCTGATAGAAATTTGTGGGGTTTTTTTTTTCCTAACTAAACCACTAGGGGGAAGCATACCATACATTGCAATATCATACATTATGGAAAGGTAAAGCTATGTAGTTAATTTAAATAGGAAAATTCTTGGTTGGAAGAAGAATGACAGAAAAAATGTGTCCATCTGTTAAAATTGACAACCAAATACTAAGATGGAGAAAAATAGTCTGCCTTATCTTTGATTTGGTTTGTGGAGGTTTACAAGCAAGTATGGAAGAAAGAATAGCACTAAGTGTCAGTGGGCTAGCAGCTGGCTGCTGAGGCCACGATCTGGGCTCTGCACATTTGATTGGGTATCATTGTAATTACATTCGTGTGGGAGTCCTGCAGTTCTCAGTTTACTTTGTCTGACTCTGTGCAGACACGTTCTTGCTTCACCCTTGCTCAGTCTTCTTCTTAACCTAGGGAGTGCTCATATTTAGGTTTGTCTGGTTAAATTCATTGTGATTCGGATCGTGTGGGAACAAGTTAGGCTTGTGTTTGGAGTTTCACCTTGTAGCCAGCCATCTTTGCCCATCAGAAACTGATCAGAGGGATGATGTAATTGCTAACATTTGTTGAGCCGTAATATGTCGGGTACTATGCTATGTACTCTTATGTCTGTCTAATTTAATTCTTAAAACAACTAGCATGGAGATGACTTTTAAAATCTTCCTGAAGAGATTATGGCACAAAGAGAGGGCCAGTGACTTAGCCAAAGTTATCTTTTGTATAACTTTGATGAGATTCAAACTCACCAGTCAACCTCTAGAGTTCATGCTCTTTCTTAACCGCTCTCAGAGCCGCCTCTTTGCATTAAGATGTGCCAGCCAGCTGTTAATTACACTATAAACTAATTGGAGGACTATGACTGCACGTGATTAGGAAGAATTTGTATCAAAAGTCAAGAGATATCTTTCTGATGTAATGATTTTCCATGTTTGTTGTTGAATAAATCTTCTAGTAAGTCTTTCCCATTCTACTGTTGTCTGCCTATATTCCACCCTCCATGTACTGTGCTGCCATTCCTTTCTTTTCTATCCTCCGTATCCTAAGTGTCTTCCACAAGTTTTTGAACTTTTACTGGAAATAAAACCAAACTTAGAGAAAAGTAACAAGAGTAAAAACGGAACAAAGAACACCTGCATATTCTTGACCCAGTGTAGACTGTTAACATTTGGCCTCATTTACTTTATCATTCATTTTTTCTTTTTGTTTATATACATAATGTTTTTTTCTGCACCATTTGGATGTATGTTGTGACCATCATTTCGCTTTACCCCTCAAATACTTCAGTATATATTTCTTAAAAATAAGAATCTTCTCTTATGTAACCACAGTACAGTTTTCAGTGTTAATAAATGTACTGTAATGTAGTACTTTAATGTTTATACTCCATTTTTCTTCATTGATCCACTCATCTCCTTTTATACACTGTTTATTTTCTTTCCAGTGTAGCATCAGGTATTTTGTTGTCAATGTTTCTTTGATTCTTTTGATATGGAACATAACCAAAACCTTTTATTTTCTTTTATGGAATTTGCCCTCTTGAAGAATACTATTCCTTCTACCTTTATGTTTTATATAGCATGTTCCTCATTTCGGGTCATTTGATATTTCCTCACGATTAGACTCTACTTACACATTCCCAGATGGGTTGCATGTGTACACGAGTCATTTTGTGTCCTTCCCAGGGCATCCACATGGTGGCTGACTGACTGCCCCTCATTGGTAATGTTGGTTTTGATCAGCTGGTTAAGATGATGTTTGATTTTTTTCACTGTTTGATTACTCATTCTTTTCCCTTGCAGTTAATAGGCAGTCTTTAGGGAGACACATTAGGACCGTGTCAGTATCCTGTTCTGCATCCAAACGTTCCTTGCTCCTGGCAGGTTGTCAGGTTTAGCATCCTGGCAACAGTTGACGATTCTTGGCAGAACCAGTCTTGACTTTAGTGGTCACAAAGTCATGATTTTTCAGCGTCCGCACTTCCTCCCCATTTACCAGTTTGCAGTCACACTATTGTAAGTGAGAGAGAGCCCTTTCTCCTTCCTTCTGTATTTATATGAACTACTGGATTCCCTGTCCTGCCCCCAGTAGCCTATAATTCATTTCTTTTAAAATGATTTTGTTGCTCAAATTATTCCATATTTGCCCACTGAGAACTCTTTTGCATTGGATCTGTCTTAGTGACATGTTCCTATCTCTTCTTCCTCCTTTTTTTTTTTTTTTTTTTTTTTTTTAGCATTTCCTTACTTCCTGGCTCATCTTCTACCTGGTCACACCCTGGAATCAGTCACTTCTCCAAGGAGCTCTTGTTTCTTTTAGTAGGGAATGGGACTAGAAACCAAGATACGGGTGCTAGGTATCTTTGTTTCTAGACTTTTTCAGCAGACAAGCTAGGAAATAAATGTGCGTATATACACAACTGTTGGGGAGCTTTGTCCAGCAGAGCCCCCAGCCATCACAGATGAAAATAAGTTTACCAAGACATGATGTGCTTTGGGAGGAAAGGTGGCCGATCTCTCCGAGGAGAAGGGCCAGGAGCCTGTTTCTCAGTAGGCTTTTATTGGGTTTAGTTTGCACAGGAATACAGGTGAAGCTCACCAATCATTGTCAGGCTGTCATGGTCAAATAATAGATAATATTCAAAGAATTACGAGGGCTTATTATGAGTCAGGGTCAGATTGCCAAAAGGCAATAAAACTTTGAGAAACAAACTCTTTTTATGCTTGGACCTTTATTGGGAAATTGAGGGCATTCTTAGCAAAGCAGGTTTCACAGGATTTTATGCATTCTTTCTTAGGCCTGAACGCCCCAGGGAACCGCCTATTCCTGCCCAGGGCTGCACTGCCCTCCAGCATTGTTTCAGGCTTAAGTCAGGCAGTGGAGGTAAGGTGGCCAAGAGATTAGGAGACTTCTCACAGACAGGATAAAGACATAGGCTGTGTCAAAACAGGGGTGAGGGTCCATCACTCCCTTTTTCTGTAGCCCCCCAAGTCCTTCCCTGGGGGCCTCTTTACAACCATGTGTATCTTAGGTTGTCCCTCTGTTGAGGAATCTTAGACCAGGGTCGAGCAGGGTGAAGTAAAAGGGGGCAGGAGTGGCACCCCTGCCAGGAAGGTATGCTTTGTCTCCTTAGTGGCTTCTGGTCCCAAGGTCTCTCACTGAGCCTTAGCCATCGAGGGTTACAGCTTCTGAAAGCAGGTAGGGCAGTTCCTAACATATAACATGTATGTAAATGTGTATGCAAACACATGCATTTATTCCTGGGTATGTACTGTGTGTGCACCATAGACATACATATACACATTTTAGAAATTGTGAATTCTTACATATATCACAAACTCAGACCTATCCTCACATATTTCTTTCGTGCCTACCCCCATTGCCTATTCACATGTAGCTTCCACAGTGAGAACCCTGGTTCCTGCCAGCATCAACAACACTCTTTTAATTCCTACAACACATCTAGAATAGTTTCAAACTTCCTTTGCTCACACCACTAAAAAATCTTATTAGAAAATAATTTTTAGGGAATGTGTTCAGTCCTCTGTAAGCATCAATAAAGTCAGAAGTTGTGCTTTCTTTTTCTTCTTCATTTAAAATTGACTTGAGTTTATCAGTTTGCCCTCAGTTTTAGATTGTTATCCATCCCAGTCTTGTTGGTTTTCATTAATTTTTAAATATGTAGAAGATCAATATGCTTCCAAAGATCAGAGCTGTGCAAGAAGGTGTCTCAGAGAAGTGTTCCTCCCTTTCGTCCTACTTCCCCATCCATTGTTGGAAACCAGCTCTTTGGTTTGCTAAGTCGATCCTTCTTGTGTGTGTTTTTTGTTATGATAAGCAGATATATGTACATTTTATTTCCACCTTGTACAAAAGATAGCATAATAAATGTTTTTAAATTTGCAAATTTACTTAATATTTTCTGGAAATGGCTTTGTATTTATTCATAGAGATTTTCTTCATTCTTTTTTCCCCATCTAATCCCCCGCCTTCTCCTCTTTGACCATCAGTTTCTTCTTTGTATCCTTCATTCTTTTTCATAATTGTATTCCATGGGTGTATTTACTGTAGTTTATTCAAAGTTTCCTATACTTGGACCTGGGTAGTTTCCAGTATTTTACAGTTAGAAATAATGATTGCAGTGAATAATCTTATACACTTATATTTTCATAATTTTGGAGATTATCTCTAGAGTAAATTTCTAGAAGTTGGGTTGCTCGGTTGAAGAGTGTATGCCCATGTAGTTCTGTTAAATATTGCTCAGTTCCTCTCCATTATACCATTTTACATTCTTGCCAGCAATACATGAGCGCCCCTGTTCCCCCGTAGCCTCACCAACAGGGTATATCATGAAGCTTTTTGAAATTTTGCCATTCCATTGGGTAAAAATGTTATCTTACTGTAGTGTTAATTTGTATTCCTCTTATTGTGAGTGAAGTCTAATGAGTTTTTATATTTTAAGGGCCACTGTTTATAACTATAACTTTTTTCAGTTATACTTCATGTCTTTTGCCCTTTTTTTTTTTGGTAGGCATTTTGGTTTTAGTTTGGTCAAAGTACTTTGTGTGTTGGGGACATTAGCCCTCTCTTTACATATAAAAATACATATCTATAGCCTTTTATATTATATACATGTAAAATATTTTCTCCCAGTTTCCATTTATCCTTTGATTTAGCACCCAGTTACTTTTTGCCATGCAAAAAAAAATGTTCTACATCCAATTTGTAAAGGAATTAAGCTATGTATTTGGCTGGTAGCTTGGTAATCTTAATTTTTCCTTTTATTTTTTTAAAGATTTTATTTTTTAGGGGAGAAGCGAGGGAGAAAGAGAGGGAGAGAAACATCAGTAGGTTGTCTATCGTATGCCTTAAATTTTCTTTTTAGATCTCTGGTCCATTGTGAGTTTATTTTCTGTACAATGTTTGGAATATATCTAATTTATCTTTTTTCTAATGCTAGATCCTTTATTAATCATTAGTAAATGTTTTTAGACTTTTAAAAACTTTCTGTGGGGTGAGAATAATTTTTTGACATACATACATGTGTATAATGTTCAATATGCACACATACAAGTAGACCAGGCCATAAAGTTTAAAAATAGAGTTTTCAGTGGGAGTGAAGATTCCTTCCCTTCACGCACATTAGGCCGGGTATGTTGTGAAATGCTAACTTTGACAGCAGGCAGAGTCTTTACTACCTTTATTTTGGTAAGGAGCGAGTAGTCCTGCCCCTGAACTGCTTTGGGCAGCTCCTGAATGTGGGTAGCCTATCTTGGTCATCTGACTGTTTATGTATCAATAGGTCAGTTAGTGGAAAATTGCAAGAGGAAGTTCTTTACAAAGATGCCGCTAAAATACATTGTATAGTGTGTGTTTATAGTTTAGGCATAGATTTTGGACTTTAGCTAGTTTTTGGTGCTTTTGTTTTGAAACTGGTAGTAGCCAGTAGCTGTGAAGACACAGTTCTTATGTACAGCTTGTCTTCTTTTTGGGGCCCTTTGCCTCATTGATGGGCAGTGCTCTCTGAAGGATTAGGGAGATAAGAATCCCTGTGCCCTCCGTGGTGTGTATAGTTTTTCACAAAGCTTTTGATTTTTTTTTTGTTTACTTTTTTAGTAATTTTTTGAAAATTCAAGTCTATCCAATCCCTTTTCCATGTTAAAGGTACAAAACTGACATACATTAGTTTCCTAAATGCTTTACTGATTGACTACTTATAACCTGTGGTTTTTCACAGGATTGTAGACTAGAGTGGAAAGCATCTGGGGAAATGAAAGAAGAGGTGTGATCTTTTCCTGCCCAAATACCTTTCCTTTTTCTGTTAGACAGTCTGCTGCATTAGCTAGAAGGACATTGTGAGTTACAGAAACACACTTTTCTTTCTATTGGTGATTCTCATTTTAGTGAGATTTTATTTGCATTGTGTATATCCAGTTTCCTGATGGGGAAGATACATATCACTGGGTCACTTCTCAGTGGTTCGGAAGTCCTGCTGTTCGAAGCTGAGCGTTGCTAAAGGAACGATCAGCACGAATGTGTTGAGTACGTACAGAGGCACAGGCCAGCCTGTGATGTGGCACAAGGCTTGTGAATGGTTTACAGCTCTTGTTAACTGAGTGTGCAGCTTTACTTAGTTGATTTTGTTTAAAAACATTTCATTTTTGTGTCTCTAATTAGTTAGCTACAGTGTATTTACTTCAGTTTCTGCTGAGCCCAAAGGGGACAGTATAGCGTAGAGCAGAGAGTTTTAACTCCGTACTCTGTCAGTCACTAGGTGACCTTGGACAGAATTCTTAACTTGTCCGGGCCTCTCTTCTATCATTTGTCATACGGTAATAAGTCACACAGAATCAAAAACACACTTTTGTGAAACTTTCCACTTCAATCTCTAAAGATGAGAATCATAATTTATCATAAATAAATTCCACTTAATGTGTCCTTTCGCCTATGCAGTATTACCCTGACCTTAAAGTGGTTGCCATTTAAGAAATTACAGACTAAAACCCCGAGTCTGTGGTACTTTTACACCTGAGAGCATGTAATAGGCTATCAGGTGAGTCACATTACCTGCCCCTCCACACGGCTCCCCTTCTTCCACCAGAAAGCTTCCCGGAAACTCCAGCTGACGTATAACTAAATCCAAACCTGCTTTGATTTAATGGGAATAAAACAACTAGGTGATTGAGAGTGATTCCCCAGAGTTCAGAGAAGCTAATTTCTAATGACTTGATTTACAACTCTAAAATCTTAGGGGGCACCAGTGAACTAACAGATGCAGTCTAACAGATTATTCATCTCCTTTCAGCAGTGTTCTCTAAATTGGGTCTTCTCAAAACTCAGTCTAACCAAACGGATAAGGGTCTGTTTAAGGAAGCACAGGAAAGCTTTTCTGTTCCCCTTGACAACTAGTCCTTCTAGGTGAGTATCTGCCTGAATTGGCAGAACTGTAGTAATTCCTCTTAATTTGGGTGAAGTGTTTTCTCAGTATTCCAAGCGATCATACGCAGCACCTTTCCCAAATAGGGACTGTTCCATTTATGGAGTAAGAATTAGGACGTCTTACTTACCTTACCTCACAGAAATGCTTTTGTAGTCAGTATGAGGAAATCTGGGTATTGGTTTTTGCTGTGTTTTTAGTCGTGCATTTCTTTTCTTTGTGGACTCCAATAGGAAGTAGTTAATTACAGTATTTTTCATGAGAGAACTATTTGTAAGTACATGTCACCAGACTACGTCTTAAACGGCTGTGGGAGGAACAGTAGTCATTTATAGATCTTCACCCTCTGGAGGCACTACCCATCTTTATTTTAGAGATTACATTCCAAAAGATACAAGGGAAATAGCTCTGGTTAGTTCTCTTGTTCAAGCCTGTGCACAGTCTAGGAGTATATTTCTGACTCAGTTTGACTGACAGACTTTCCTGTAGAATAACTAGTAAGACTTGCCCAAACAGTAAATGTATTTTAATTTGGATGATTAAAAAAAGTGAAGGTCAACGAAAGTAAAATTAAAATATTTAATTTCGTGAATTTTTAAAAACAATTTAAAAATAGTATTACTTTTTATTTTGGAGGATTTCATTAATTTTTTAAATCTTTATTAGGATTTTTCTTTATATGTGAGCATCTCACAGCTACCAGATTACTTGGTCCTGTCAAATTGTATCATGTCTTACATTATCATAGCACTAAGCAACAGAAAAGTCATTGTGTCAATTGCTTTTTTGTATGTTTCATAATAGTTACTCAGAAATTTATATTTACAGTTTTAAAATGAGATCATTACCTCACTGGTTATAGAAATATCTATCTCTTTTCCTAATATTTAAATTATTGTAAGGATTAATGTCTTACATGTTCATTATTCCCTCTTAAGTAACATGAAACTCTGTGGCTGTGGTGGGGATTGAGCCCAGTTGTCAGACCTCATTCATTGCCAGCTCTGTGTAGCAGCCGTATGTGCTCCTTTGTGAAAAAGGAATAAGATGCTTTGTATGGACCTCTCAAAATGAGATGGAAATCTAATTGTTGTCTAAGTGTACCTTATTTTGAACCCCCAAAAGATAATCTTCTGTAAGTATTGTTGCTTAAAGTAATGATGTCAGGTCATACATGAATTACCTGCTTTGTGACCAATGTAGGGAGCGTAGATTCGGGTTGGGTTTTTTTTCCAGTTCTGAGGCCTGCTCAATGTGTCCAGGACCAGTGCCACAGGGTGCTCTGCCTGTAGCTGGTTTGTAAGAATCTGGATCGGATTGAGTAGGGGAAGAAACAAGAGTCTGGCACTTTCTGGTTAACACATCATAATTGTGCGGTTTTTTCAGGTGGCCTTCTGGTGGCGTCTGCTCATTTTGGTGCATATGTGTGTGGGACAGACATAGACTACAACACAGTCCATGGCTTGGGTGAGTAGTGGGCCTGGGCCCTGGTAAAGCCTTTGCTCCTGTGCCAAATGAGCCTTTAAAATAACGAAGTGATTTTATGTGGCATTATCCATCTATTTTTCATGTTAAGATACTGAGTTGTGATGTTACATAGTTTTACTTGTTTTTACAGTAAGACTTCACTGGGTATCTGCTTTTTATGAAGTAATCCAGTGTGCAAAGTGCTCTCCTGGGGAAACACAGTGATGAATAAGAAAAAACCCTCCCTTAAGAGGTTTTGTGGTCTTAGTAAGAGATTTTTTTAAAATAGGCAAACTGTAAGGTCGTGAACTTTAGGATTGGAAGAGAAGTGGGAGAGCGGGACTATTTTGTGATTAGCATGTTGGTGCTAATGAAACACTGTTTCTATTCAAAGATCTCTTGCTTTTTAGGGAATTTTGGAAAGTAGTTTAAAATATGGAAGCTTTGCTGGTCATATGTTACTCACTGGAATTAAACTGAAAACGTATTTCCTTATAGCTGAATAGTATTAAAAATGTCAGATTTCATTGATTATTTTGAAAATGTTTGGATATATGTAGGTACACTATTGTAAGTAGAATCAACCCTTAAAATACTGCTTTCCTTTTTCTTAGTGTAAGTTATACAGGTGATAATTTATTATATTTTATTTTCTTTTGCTAAAGCAATTGGATATATTGTATTTGGTGACCTCTTTTTTCCTACCTTGGCTATAGGAATTTAGTAAGATTTGTCACAGGGAAAAATGAGGTATATTTTATCAAGTTCACCTAAATAGACTAACCAGAAAAAGATACTTTGTCTGCAATATGTTAGAGTAGACAAAGTACTAAGAATAACTACAGTCTTTTAGTAGAAGCAGTAGGTTTGCTTTAAGGAAATGGTCATATATAAGTTATTTGAAGTTTTATTCATGGAAGTTGTATTATGAACTTTCAGGACACTTGGGTGGAATTCTCATGGATGTAGAGCTTCCTCGGAGCTTATCCGAGATGTTGTTGACTATGTGCTCCATTCCTGTGCTCCTGCACTCAACTATTCTCAAGTGTCTTGTATTTTTAAAAATTCAAAACCTTTTCTGTCAATCTGTAGGGCCCTTCTCGCTACCATTTTGTTTTCCCCCTTTGCCAAAATACTTCTTGAAAAACTCGTATTTACTTGCCATCCGCTCTTCATTTCTCACTCTCTGGTGCCCATCATTTGCCAGCTTTCCCACCCACTGAAAACGCTTGAGGCCACAGGTGCACAGCACTTGGCGGCGTTGCCCTTCATAAAGCCTCCGCGGTTTCCGAGACAGTGGTCTCATCGGGTCGTACTTTATTTCTTTGTTCCTCCCCAAGGCCCTGCGATTTTCTTTGTCCTGTGTTTACGGCTTTTCTCCAGGCATCTGTCTGCTCCCGTCTCTTACTGCTATGTGTTGTGCCGAGTCATGTATTTCTTCTTTCGATTTTTAAGTTTTGTCTTTATTGTGTGGTAGATAATAATACAGACCAGTGTATAAAAATCGAGGAATTATAAAACAAACATTTATGTAACTCCCACCTAGGTTAATAGTGTCATTCATCCTAATGGATTTAATTTAAGTTTATGTACTGGGTCTGCTTTGTGCGTGCGTTCTGACCTCCAGCTGCCGACTGTCTCTGAATGTTTTATGGGTGCCTCACAAGCCAGATTGACATACCGAAAATGAATCTCGTCTTGTTTCCTAAGCTCGTTTTTTCCTCTTGGTTTCTCTCATCTGAATTCATGGTATTATCACCTACTTGTGTCTCCTAAACTAGAACTTTTGACCTTCTTCCTTCAGCCCCTGCTGTAACTTTTCATCTGTAATGTCTGCATTTGGCCTCCCCTCTTCATGGTCCCAGCTCCACCATTTCCCAAGTTAGCGCTCTTAATTTCCGTTTTGTTTGTCTGATTCGTCTTTATTTCCACACGGGGCTGTTTGCTGCTGGGGAAAGGGGACCGTGTTCTGTTCAACTTTGTATCCTACTACTGTGTGCTTTGAAACCAGTAAGTGTCAAATGAGTGTTTTAAGTCAGTTTTTCTTGAAAAGTGATAGAAAATATCAGATGTCAGTACATTTCACTGTTTAAAGAGTATTTTTATAAGTTAAAATAAAAACAATTATTTGTTTGTAGGAATAAAATTAAGATTTTAAGTGAAAGCAAGTTTGCCCTGGCTTGGGGGGGTAGCTCAGTTGGTAGCATTGTCGCAGCACATCAAGGTCATAGGTTCGATCCCCGGTCAGGGCACATACAGTAAGCAACCAATAAATGCATCAGTACGTGGGACAACACACTGATATGTCTGTCTCTCTCTCCCTCTCTCCTCCCTTCACTCCCCACCTCTTCCCCTCTCCTCCTTTCCTCCTCTCCCCCCCTTTCCTCTCTCTAAAAAATGAAGAAAAAAAATGAAGTGAAAGCAAGTTGTATTGAATATTTGAGTAAATGTAGGTTTAGATAAGTTAAACATTACTTCTAGCAAAATGACAAGAAATAAGAATGCCTGTTTGATTTAGTATTTCCTGTCTTCCTCTTTCCCTTCAGGAAAGGCCAGTAGGAAAAACCAGAAATGGAGAGGACCGGATGAAAACATTAGGGCCAATCTTCGTCAGTATGGCTTAGAGAAGTACTACCTTGATGTCCTGGTTTCAGACGCATCTAAGCCTTCCTGGAGGAAGGGCGCGTATTTTGATGCAATCATCACTGATCGTAAGTTGGTTTTATACAAAAATAGGAGTAAATTAGTTTCCTAAAGCCATTTATTTGCATTTAAAACACAGAATTTATCAACACACATACAAAATGCCAACTTGTACTAGTATTCCCCCATCCTCGACTTCTTCACGTAGTAAACAATGTATGAATGCAGGGGAGGATAGCAATTTAATTAAGTAGTTAAGAGTTTACTCTTTAGTTTTCTTAAACTATACGTATTAACTTGTCACTACTTTTACTCTTCAGCTTATTATTATTATTTTTAAAATATTTTATTTATTTATTTTCAGAGAGAGGGGAAGGGAAGGAGAAAGAGAGGGAGAGAAATATCAATGTGTGGTTGCCTCTCACGTGTCCCCAACTGGAAACTGGCCTGCAACCCAGGCATGTGCCCTGACTGGGAATTGAACCGCGATCGCATGGTTCGCAGTCCCGCGCTCAATCCACTGAGCCACACCAGCCAGGGCTTCAGCTTATTTTTTGAAGCATATATTTGTTTTTATGATTGTTTTCCATTTGGCTATAATTGATTACTAGTATACACACTGGAACCAAAGTTTCATTTGCAGTTAGAGTATCAGATTTGAAGAAAGTGTTTCAGATATCACACATATTTTCCATGTGTAAGCCCCTATTTTTTTTGTAGTTCCTGTTTTCACTGGCACCTGCTTCACAGAGCTACAGGAAGTTTGGGATTCTGTGAACCACTGGGCTCGCGAACACACTGAGCTTCAGGAACGTGCCTGAGACCTGTGCTCCCACGCTTCGTGGGTTCTCGGGCTCTTCAGGCATCCGTTACGGGAACAGACATGCCTTTTCTGAAGTGTCTGTCAGGAAACCTGTAAATAGTGGCCTGTGTATTTATCTATTCATCGCAGCTCACTTTAATTCTTTGGTAACTTAGATCATTTCAAATCTAACAAAAGAAAAGTTATAATGTCTGTATGAATATACTTGATGAAAACTGGGTGACTTCTTAATTAACAATCTGTTATTTGCCTCTTCATGTATATTTACATAAATTATAATTTTTTTCTTTGGTCAGCTGAGAGTAAATTGTATATATCGTGGCCCTTTGCCCCTGTACTTCAGTGTGCATTTCCTAAGAGTAGACTAGTCTCTAGATAAATAAATCTAGATATTTATCTAGATAAATCTAGATAAATAAATCTCTAGATAAATGAAATCTAGTCTGTAGATTTCAATAAATCAGTACAGTATTGTCATCCAGTTTTGTCAATTAACCCAATAATACCATTTATAGCATTAGTTCCCCTCTAGTGTCAGGTGTTGCATTTAGGAGCCATGTCTTGTAGGCATCCTTTAATTTGTAACACTTCCATAGCCTTTCTCTGGCTTTATGACAGTGCCATTTTGGAGGAACACACTGGCCTCCCTTCACAAAACTTTTCAGTCAAGTCCTCCTCACATTACACATTCTCAGCTGGAATGTTGCATAGGTGAAGTGTGTCCTTCTCAGGGTTTCGTACCTAGAGGCACATGGTGTCCATCTGCCCCTCATTGAGGCTTAGGTGACTTTTGACTGGCTGTGTTGTCTGTGTGTTCTGCCTAGCTCCATATGGGATCAGAGAATCTACAAGAAGAACAGGTTCACAGAAGGAAATACCAAAAGGGATAGAAAAATGGTAAGTGAAAGTTCAATGTGATGTGTTACTACTTTAAGAAGAAGCACATTGCTTCTTTTTCATTAACTCAGTTTAACAGCCTTAAAGTGTTTCACTGATTTTGAAATTTTGTTTTCTTTGTGTAGTCCAGAAAGCCATGTTCCTGTTTCCTTGAGTTACCGTCTGAGTGATATGTTTCTTGACCTGTTAAACTTTGCAGCTGAGACCCTCGTTTTAGGTGGAAGACTAGTCTATTGGTTACCAGTGTACACACCAGAGTATGTAATATTAAATAATTTTATTTTTAGTTTCAATTTTCTATGGTGTTTGTGTATCTAGTATATAGTTTTTCCTATCCAGTTGCAGTCAGGATAAATATCTTTGCGTTTAACCTATATGATAGTATTTGTTTACCTACATATGTGTGTAAAGCCAGCCCCTTTCTCTTATTGCTTGAATTACTTTGACCTTTTTATTTTATGTCAGGGTGTCGTAAACTGTGGCTTGTGGGGCAAATATAATCCTCAGCGTGTATTTGTAAGGTTGTTGAGCTAAGACTGGTATTATGTATTTTTAAAGGGTTAAAAAATATGTGACAGAAACATACGTGGCTCACAAAGGCTAAAATATTTACTCTCTGGCCCTTGAGAGAAAAAGTTTGCCAGTCCCTATTGTGTGCCACACTTACCTGCCTAAGTGTTTGGTGGCTGTTTTTCTAGGCCACAAATAGGTGATTTTCAGTAACTTAGCTGAGTGGTTCATGTATCTGCTACTAGCTACCTTTAATATATATTGCCTATTATGATCACCTTAAATGCAATAAATCTTTTTAAAAAGCTAACATAAAAATAAAAGCTCTGCATATATTTAAGGTCCTGAGTATATTCAACATTATTACTTTGGGTTTTATTATTCAGTAATTATTATTTATAAACAGAGCTATGTATTTATATCAGCTATGAAAGATAAGGTGTCTTGAACAAGATCTTTATTTATTTAAAATATATTTAATATATAATAAATAAATATTACTTATTGATTATGCTATTACAGTTGTCTCAATTTCCCCCCCTTTGCCTCTTTCCTCCCGGTATGCCCATTCGCTCCAGCAATCACCCTCAACCCTACTGCAGTACTTACATGTCCACAGATCACACGTATAAGTTCTTTGGTTTCTCCATTTCCTATACCATTTTTAACACACCCCTCTCTGTTTTGTACCTACCAATTACCCTTATTATTCCCTGTACCTTTACCCCCATTTTCCTCCTTCCCCCTCCCCACTAATAACCCTCCAAATGATCTCGATATCTGTGATTCTGTTCTTGTTCTGTTTTTTTGCTTAGTTTGTTTTTTTAGATTCAGTTGTTGATAGTTGTGAATTTGTTGCCATTTTAATGGTCATAGTTTTGATTTTATTCTTAGACAAGTCCCTTAACATTTTATGTAATAATGGGTTGGTCATGATGAACTCCTTTAGCTTTTCCATGTCTGGGAAAAATTTTATCTGCCCTTCCATTCTAAATGGTATCTTTGCTAGAGAGAAATGTATAGGTTGTAGGTCCTTGCTTTTCATCACTTTGAATACTTCTTGCCAGTCCCTTCTAGCCTACCAAATTTCTTTTGAGAAATCAGCTGACAGTCTTATGGTAACTCCTTCATAGGTAACTACCTTTTTTCTCTTGCTGCTTTTAAGAATCTCTCTTTATCTTTAACCTTTGGCTTTTTAATTCAGCTGTTTCTTGGTGTGGACCTCTTTGGGTCCAGCTTGTTTTAGGGCTCTCTGTGCTTCCTGAACTTCCTGGACTTCCTGAAAGTCTTATTTCCTTTACCAAATTAGGGAAGTTTTCCTTCATTATTTTTGCAAATAGATTTCCAATTTCTTGCTCTTTTTCTTTTCTTTCTGGCATCCCTATGATTCGGATGTTGGTATGTTTGGAGATATCCCAGAGGGTCCTTGTACCCTCGTTTTTTGAATTGTTTTTTCTTCTGGCCATTCTGGTTGAATGCTTATTTCTTCCTTTTGTTCCAAATCATTGATGTGAATCCTGGCTTCATTTTATTACCTCCACATTTTTCTTTATTTCACTTAGTATAACCTTCATTTCTTTTTTTATGTTGTTGTTATACTCAGTGAGTTCTCTGAGCATCCTGATCACCAGTGTTTTAAACTGTGTGTCTGACAGGTTGGTTATCTGGATTGCATTTAGTTCTTTTTCTGGGGTTTTGTTTTGTTATTTCATTTGGGCCATAATTCTTCGTCTCCTCAATTTGGTAGCCTCCTTATGTTTGTTTCTGTGTAAGAAGTAGAGCTGCTTTGACTCCCTGTCTAAGTAGCATGACCTATTACAGAAAATACACCTGTAAATTGTGTAGGACGCAGCCTTAGGTAGCTGCCAAGGCAGGGCAACCCACTTCACTGCTTTGTGGATCTGTGTGTGGGGGGGAAGGCTTGGCGAGGGGACAGTGCTGCTGCCTGGCCTCTAAAGGTTTGCCAGGCATATGCCCCATGCAACTGGCACCTTTTCAGCAGTTGCCCTGATGCTGAATCCCAGAGAGGGTGGGTCTGTGTACTTTTTAAGTCCATCTGGGCCCTTTAAGCCAAGTCTCCTGAAAATCCAGCAGTTTCTTCCACCTTTCCAATCCCCATTGGTTTTTATAGCCGGATATTATGGGGATTTATCTTCTTGGCACTGGGACCGTGGGCTGTGTGGTCCAGCCTGGGACTGGGATCGCTTACTTCCAAGGTGTTCCTCCCGATTTTTATCCGCCCCGCATGAGTGTGGGTACTGCCCCTTCTGCTGCAGCTGTCTCGCTGTGACACCCCGCCTCTCCACGCATCTCCGCCTGTCTCCGCCTCTCTCCTGCTCCTACCCTTTTGGATGCATGTGGCTGCTTTATATCCTTGTTTGTTGGACTTCCATACAGCTTGATTTTCTGATGGGTTGGGGTGTTATTTGTTTTGAGGTCTAGTTATAATTCTTTCTGTGGTTGCGCGAAGAGGCAAAGTGTTTTTGTGGACACCTCCATCTTGACTGTAAGTCAAGAAAAGATCTTTAGATTGGCAAGATAGTAGCTCAAATTTGGGCCATTTCTTTAATCTGCCATAGAAATCTTTTTAAAAAATTTATGTTAAGCAGGTAACCTTGCTGCTGGAATTCAGCTTGTCTAAGGCGAAAACTACTTCTGCATAGAAATAGACAAATGTGCTCTTCTCTGAAAATATTAATAAAATTACACCTGTCATTTACCTACCAGACATGTGGGATCTGGCGGGATGTTGAGTTATGTGAACATACAGCACGGGGAAGAAAGAAACCAATAAGCTGTTTCGTAACGTTAGAGCTCATTTCACTCCTTGGAATTAGTTTTCCTTATTTCTGAAAAGAGGTTGAATGAAATTAACACTGATAACAAAATATAAACCCAGTGTTAAGGAGTCTTGGCATGAATGTGTAGTATTATCAGCTGATAAACGAATACTGAGCAAAGGTGGGCCAGCCTTTGTAACTTACAATACAGTGCTTATAAAACAAACAAAAAACAGCACAGCTTCCAAGTGCCATTATGAAAAGACAGACAGGTTTCACACTGTTCTGAAATGCGTTTTGTATAATTATGTACAGTAAATGTAAGAAAAATAAGAATTATATGTTATAATCAAGTTCAGGTACTATTTCTTAAACCCAGGATATTTAAAAAAGTATAAAGCATAATAAAAACAAAATACTACCTAAAAGCTTAGTGATTTGTGAAGAATCATTGGAGCCGATGATTGAAAAGTTTGTTTAAAGTGCAGTGAAGGAATCGCCACTGAACAGACTTCTGTTTTTCCCCTTTAGTCTAGATTTCCCCCACTCGAGTGTATCACATTTTGTTGCCCAAGTCAGGATACTCTGTACACTTTATATTTTTTCTCTGTTGTTCATTCTGTCCCCATTGCTTGATTTACCCTTCTTCCTCAATTGATAAAATTCTAGTCATCTTCCAAAGCCTGACTTAATTTGCCACTACCTGGTGACATTTTCTCAGCCCTTCTCAGCAGAGTGACCAGTCCTTCATCTATGTCCTCACAGTGCATTCTTATCACTCATAGAGGCTTGCACCATAAAATCACTGACTCTTGTTGTTTGTGGGTTGTTTGTTCGTAGTTTCAACTACTGGAAAAATGACCCTGAAGATCTGTGTAACAGTCACTTTGACAGGGCATAAGTTGGACTCCTCCGGGTTTGATGTTAGAGGCTTTGCTGAGTTAACTGAGTGTAGCTGTTTGCCCAGGTTCTGCATATCTGTGTAGTGTTGTTTTCTGATTGTCCTTGCACAGATAAGGGTCTTGAAGTGACTACAAACTGTTCCTTTGTGAAAGATGCTCTTTAATAGAGATGCACCTGATAGTTCTCGTGACTAAAATGCTGGAAAAGTGAAGAAGCCTAATGAATTGCCTCGAAGCGGAAGTTGGGGCTCAGATTTAATTGTAATACAATGAATTTTGTGGCTCAAGCAGTGAACAGAACATGTTTTTCATGTCTCATCTAGGAGACAGAAAAAAATTGATTCCTTACACTGTTTCCAGTGTTGCTTCAATCAACACAAAATCTGTTTCTCAAATGGGAGGTGAAACTGTGGTAACATTTTAAAAAAGCCTGAGGCTTGAAGATTCACAGGAAAATTAGTGACTTTCAGAACTGGTTCATGGAAGAGATAGGGGCCTGTGTACATAGGAGTTTTTTTGTCTTTTATTTAAAAAATTAAATTATAATGTATATACCACGCAAGTCACTCTTTTAAAGTGTACAGGTCCATGGTTTTTAGTATATCCACAGAGTTACACAGCCATGCCATTATCTACTTCCAGAACATTTTTATTAACCCAAAAGGAAACATTGTACACATGAGGAATATCTATTCCTTCTGGCCCCGGCAACTACTTATCTGTCTCCATGGGTTTGCCTCTGCTGGCCGATTTGGATTTTAAATAGATGCTTGTAGAGGATAGTAATAAAAATGGAATTAAGATAGGGTACTGTACTATCAAAATAGTCCAAGCATAGCTCAGATTTATTGCCTCTATTTAATAGTTTGCACACAGTTCATTACTATGAAATATATTGGTAAATATATAGTAAAGCATTTTTGAACTGCTATTTTTTAAATTTACTTTGGAAATATACTGTTAAATTGATTGGTTCATTAATATAATAGAGTTGTGGTTAAAAATAAATTATTACTGGTAATGATGACCCAACTAATGTTCCTTCCTTCTTAAACTTAAAGATCAAGTTAGAACCAGAATCTAAAACATGTACATATTTTTTCTGCTCTTAAGCCAAAAATTAGTGACTTAGTTTTAATAGTTTACCAATATTTATGTCATAAATATTAATTAAAATTATATTGGCTTTGTGCTTCTAGTTTGGTTTATAAATTTATTTTTGGTTTTATAGTTATATAAGGGATATAAACATAAGGAATTTATCTCTAATTTATGTTTGTATATATTTAAGTAATGTTTTAGTAAAAATACTTTGTAAACTCCACCAGGAAATAAACTCTTTTTTTCTCTTCACAAAGGGTACTAAGTTTGACGGTTTCAGACATCTGTAAACCCTGCTGTTTGGAAGCGTACAATTGAGGCTCTATCTTCTCTCTCTTACCACTTTTTATTTTAATCTGCAAACCATGGTGTATGATATATTCCTTCATATCATAAATGCTTTGTATGAAGACGTCAAATTTGATTTTAACTAAATTTTGTAGAAGTGCAACCTTTCTGGCAGTATAGTGAACATTAGAGAATTATTAAATGAGGTGAGATCTGAAATGGTCATGACTTGTCGCAAAGCCCTAAGGAAGGAGGCAGAGAATGACTTCAAGAGAATTCCTTCCACTGATAATAAAGTGAGTGCATGATGAATGTTGCTTGCTGAGTGGGTGATGAGGGTTTTGAGCATGTGGTTGAGGTAATGGGGAGAGATCCTTGAAGGTCAGAGAGACCTAGAGAAGTCAGTAAAAGACTTCTGGTGGGGAAGACACTGTTGATGCATTGTAGATGAGATGGATGTCCTTTAAATGAAGTGCTAATCAGCATCTTACCCATTTTGGATCAGAGCTTTAAAATTCCCCATGTAATAAATGTTTCTAGAGAGTATCCAGAAAGGTACAGATTTGCAGAGGAAAAATAAAAACCAGCAGTCAGTGTGTCGCTCATAGTACTCCTGAACCTCCCCCATTGTTCTTCTGCATCCTGCTCTGTAGCTGTTTTCGCCCTGTCTGTCACCTGTTTTTTCTGCCAGGATTAATACCAACAACCTGCCAGGTGTCAGGTTCTGAACTCCTGCAGCCTGAGTGTCCTGTTTTCTAGGTGTCGTCATCTCCAGTCACGAGGTGCCTGCGCTGCGCAGCCATTTCCGCTGCTTGTTATCGTGGCTTCGCTTTGATTTCATGGTGCTGGTGACCGGAGAACTGACCTCAGCTGTTTCTTTTAGTGGTAGTCTATCGAATAGTCTTATAAGTAACTTTAGTCCTGTGTTTTTACAAAGTTAATGGAGATGTCAAGATGCAGAGGCAAAATTTTATAGAGGAAAGTACAGGCTATAATAGACTTTATACTTTGGGAAATTAATAAATCTCCTGATGAATCAGTTTCTCATGAATGTCAAGTTCCTGCAGGATGTATTTCTGTCTTTTAGGTGCTCTCGTGGGATCTTTAGGATGGAATTATTGTTGTCTTATATTTTTGTGGTTTTAAATTCCTGGCATTCTTCAGTAAAACATGCTTATATTCTCTCATTCTCATTCCACAGGCAAAACAAACTCCTTTTGAGAGGGGGCATATTAAAATACTTTGCTTTTTAAAAACCCAGATTGTCTATATATTATGTCAATGGCGTATATATACAATAAAACGGCACAGCATGCAGTGGGAGGAGGTCTCACACCACACTGGATAGCCCCGTGCCCGTCCTGTGTGGGGTGTGCATGCGGTGCTCCTCACAGGCCTGTTCTTCCTCCAGATACACTGAGGAGGTGGTGCCCTGGCATCCCTGCCTGAAGCTGCTTAGCAACTGTGAACAGAAGCTTTCCAGTCACACATCAAGGCGCTTGATAACAATGGAAAAGGTGAAGAAATTCGAGGTACATTATTGTAGTACTTTGAGGATAAATTCTGGAAGGATTAGAAATCTATTTTTGTAGTTTTCCTCTAACGCAATGTTGAATGTTAGTCCCTGATTTAAAAAAATAATGGATGAAGTCAGGAAAAAACAGGAGGGGAAGGGGTTTGTGGCATTTTGGTGGTGGGGTTAGAGGGTAGAAGTAAGTAAGATAGGGAAGTTTAATGGACGAGTAGAATTAAAGTGACCTAAACTGCTCAGGCTTTATTTGACATTCTTGTTGCTAACTCGGTTATAAAACAGAGCACTCTTAATTAAGTATCTATCATTTAATTAGTAATCTTCTAGTTTTTTACTATTTCTCTCCAGAAGCATAACTTACTCGATTGCAGACCGTTCGGAAGAGAAAATGTCACCTTGTATGAGGGAGACAGTGATTTCCCCCATCAGTCGGAGCACAACATGGTCTTTTTTCTTCTTCTCTCCGTTCTTCCCCCTCCGCCCCTTCCCTCCCACACACTTAAGCCTGACAAGAAAGCACAAAGCACCTGCAATATTTATGTCCAGATCAGAACAGAACTGCTATGAAAAACACCTCATAGTGGAACTTAATTCCATCATGCACAGAATGCTCTTTGGACTGGATTGACAACCACAGCCCTCCCAGCTCACTGGAAACTTAGGCAGGCCCCATCTTTGCTTTGGGTCTGTAGGGCGAACAGGAAAGAACGGAAGGTTACTGCCTTGGAATTCAGTGACGTGAGCATCTTGTCTTCATTTTGTCTTCTTTGGAAAAGTGTCTGTTTAGATCCTCTGCTCATTTTTTAATCAGATATATATGTTTTTGCTATTGAGTTGTATGCGTTCTGTATGTATTTTGGACATTAACCCCGCATCTCATCTGTGGTTGACAGATATTTTCTCCCATGCAGTACATGGTCTCTTCATTTTGTTGATGAAACTTTTTAGTTCAATGTAGTCCCCCTTGTTTATTTTTGCTTCTGTTGCCGGTGATTTTTGAGTCAGGCCCAAAAACGTCATCACCACGACCTATGTCACAGAGTGTATGGCCTGGCCTATGCTTTCTTCTAGGAGTTTTATGGCTTTAGGTCTTTTGGTTAAGTCTCTAATCCATTTTGAGTTAATTTTTCTGAGGCAGTGGTCTAGTTTCATTGTTTTCATGTGGCTGTCTGGTTTTCCTAACGCCCTTGATTGAAGAGACTTCCTTTCCCCATTGTATATTCTTACCCCCCTTTGTCATAAAGTGGACTACGTTTGCATAGGTTTATTTTGGGCTCTCTGTTCTGTTCACCTGATCTATGTACCTGTTTTTATGCCAATACTGTACTGTTTTGATTACTCTGGCTTCGTAATCAGTCCAGTTTGAAATCAGGATGTGTGATACCTCTAGCTTTGTTCCTCTTTGTCAAAATTGTATCTGCAATTTGGGGTCTTTTGTGGTTACATATAAGTTTTTAAGATTGTATGTTCTATTTCTGTGAAGAGTGCCTTTGGAATTTTGAAAGGATTGCACTGAATTTGTAATATGAACATTATAACAATATTAATTCTTTCAGTCTACAAGCATGGGATATCTTTTTATTATTTGTGTCTCCAGTTTCTTTCATAAGTGTCTTACAGTTTTCAGTGTAGAGGTATTTTACATCCTCAGTTAAATTTCTTTTTAGGTATTTTTGATGCAATTGTAAATGGGATTTTTTCTTATTTTCTCTTTCCGACAGTTCATTATTAGTGTATTGAAACACAGTTGATATTTATATATTGATTTTTGTATCCTGCAGCTTTACTGCATTTGTTTTATTAGTCCTACCAGTTTTCTGATGGAGTCTTTAGGGTTTTCTGTGTATAATAACATGTTACCTGCAAATAGTGACGGTTTTACTTCTTTTCAGTTTGAGTGCTTTGTATTCTTGCTCTTGGTAATTGCCCTGGCTAGGACTTTTCTTTGTTCTTGCCTAGGCAGGGGTGGGCATTCTTGTCTTATTCCTGATGAAAGAGGAAAAGCTTTCACACACGTGTCAAGCACAGTTAACATTGGGTATGATGTTAACTCTGTGCTTGACATGTGTGTCTTCTATTATGTTGAAGCATGTCCCCTCTATACCTACTTTGTTGAGAGTTTTTATCTTAACTAGTTGTTGAATTAGATGCTTTTTCTGCATCTATTGACATCATCATGTCATATTTATTTTTCAGTTTGTTAATGTGTTGTAGCACACTGATTTGTGGATGTTGAACCATCCTTGCATCTCTGGAATAAATCGCACCTGATCATTGTGTATGATCCTTTTAATGTATTGTTGAATTTGGTTTGCTGATATTTTGCAGAAGATTTTTACATCTATGTTCATCAGAGATACTGGCCTATAAATTTCTTTCTTGTGGTGTCCTCATCTAGTTTTGGAATCAGGGTAACGCTGCCCTCATGAAATGAATTTGGAAGTGTTCCCTCTTTCTCTAATTTTTGGAAGAGTTTGAGTTTAATTCTTTGATTGTGGTAGAATTCACCAGTGAAGCCATGTGGTCTTGGGCTTTTGTTTGTTGGGAAGTTTTTGATTATTGATTTAACCTCCTTACTAGCAATCTGTCTATTCACATTTTCTTTTTTCATGATTCAGTCTTAGAAGGTTGTATGTTTCTAGGTTGTCCAATATGTTGGTGTATAATTGTTCATAGTAATCTCTTAGGATCCTTTGTATTTCTGTGGTATCAGTTATAATGTCTCTTTTTTTATTTTTCTGATTTTATTTATTTCCTTCCTTTTTTAATTGCAAAATTGTAGACAATTTCATATTTGCTTTCCCATAAGTTTAATTTATTTAAGAAAGTCTAGTATTTTTTTCCAGATTTATACTACTTTTCTAAGCAAATTGATTTGATACTCAGAAGAGGAAAAAGAGAATGATTTAAGGATGCTTCTGAGAATTTCTTCTCTACATAAAAATGATAAGGGCACTCACCTTAGATATTTTAAAACTCGTATTAATTTTGGTTGCTTTATATCATTTTACTTTTGTCCTTTTAAAATTTATTTTAAAAAATGATAAAATCTGATCTCAAGTAATTTTTGAAATGGTCTTTATAAGATCAAATCTGTTCAGTGAGTTTTAACTAGTATGGAGTTTACTCTGACTAATATACTGTCTTATTAAATTCATCGTTTGTTTTTTAATTAATTACTTCATTTCTACCTTCTGTTTGTATGAGGAGAAGTGTATATAATTGCAGCAAGATCCCAGTCCTTTATAACGCAAGTGGTGACATGAAATTGTCAAACAGTTCTTATACACGTCTAACAAATTATTCTTGGGCTCTTGCAGTGTTGTTGATTTTGGCAATGGAAGACTATTAATTTTAGATTTTTACACTTTTGTGTACTGTGTCTCTTCATATTTGATTTGTCACTTGTTAGGTTTCACTTCAGTATAACTTTTGGCCCACTCGATGGGTTGTTATAAAGTGCTCTCCCTGACCTCATTTTAAAATGTAAACAGAAATGCAAAAACCATCCAAAGAATATGGATGTTTCATAAAATTTTGTGTTTTTAGATTATTGGCTATAGTTTTTAGATTTATTGAACATTAGTGGTGAAGAAATTCTTGCCAACCATGTTAAAATTATGAGTATGCCTGACAAGAAAAGCTAGTTTTTTGGTCAGTATTCCTTGTTTTTGTAGCCTGAAAGCCAAGGGAATGATAAATAACACTTTAATAATGCTTTATTGTTTACAGAGCTTTTAGATCCATTGACCTAATTATTTTGCACATTTTTTGAGATTAGGAAGTAGCTGTGTTGAGACCAGAACTCCTCTGTGTACTTGAAATGCCATATTCTTTTTCCACATCATGTCACCTTATCACCAAAATACATTTCTGCCTTTAGAGTCTGCCAAGATAAGGAGGCAGTATTCTTGAGTGGTATATTGCTAGTTTATTTTAAAGATAGTCTTTCCTTATCACTCACGGGGTTATGGTGGAATGTGATTTGTTTTACTAGAACTCAGTTTTCCTGTTGATGCAATATGTAGCTGGTGATGCTATATATATAGTTATGGTCACAGTGGTTACTCCTATAAAATACTTTTCTCTTATGAAACACATAAGAGAAAAATGTTCATCTCCCAGAGTTGACTACAACAGATTGGAATGCAAGTGTAACTAGTTCCATGTCTTTAGTGAAAGTCATGTAAAACAGTACTGTCTCAGCCTTTCTTACCAATGTACTTAATGGACAAAAGAGTACCCAGAGTGGCAATGTTCAAGACTTTGTGAATGTGAAGTGTTTTTTTTTTTATAGGTTTGTGCCACTTTTATACTCAGTAGTGCTTGTTTAAATGTAAAAACTTATTTAACATTGCCATTGTATTAAATGGACCATCCTGTGCCCTATTTGAGGACCAAAGTATTGGCTAAGTTTTATTCTACATATAATATTGTGTAAATCAGTTGTCATCTTTTATAGCTAGCCAGAGTCATTCAGATTATTTAAAATAAATAATATTGGAAGGTCATAGTGGCAGACAATCAAAGTTGGTGTGATTTTTTTATTTTGCATTGAGTGAAAGAGTCTAGTATCATGAAGGTGATGAATGCTTTGTTAATCAGAATGGAAGGTGGCCAAAACTGAGGGCGTGGGCTACAGGACTGGGAGACTTTGACGCTGTGGAGGGAGAAAGAACAATTAACATTATAAATGTTTTACATGAGGAAGGGAGAGAAGAGACATTGAGGTCACTTGCTTGAGACAATGACTTATTGATGACTTGAAGTGGAAAGAATTAGTCTTTGTGATAAGTAGTGTATATGTTAGAATGATGGTAAAGTGATACTGCTGACGATAAGCTGGTGTTTTGCAGACATAATGCTCATTCCTGATTCCATTATGCATTATCCTTTCTCAGAATTAATGTCAGTAGTTGTTTTTTCTTTGGCAGCTGTTTGAATTAAAGGTGTTTCCTAGCTGTTGGAAAAAAAGGTGTTGACTTTTTTTTACTGAAATGT